TTCTTTCCAGGGTTCACTGGGTTAGCCTTTCAACCAGAGCTATCCTGGTGTTCGTGGTGGACTAATTTGAAGACTACCTACTAATCTGCTTGAATACTCTAAAGCCTTACTTGCCTGTTAACAAGGGACTTTTAAGGAATCTTAGAAGATGGGCTGTAAAAAGATTTGGTTAGTAGCTTAAGAACTAGCTACTTGGGTTAATAGAATAGAGTTTTTAGATAAGTAAGATAAGAGAGTAACAAAGACAAGTTAATGTCTTGGTTAACTTAGTAAGCTTTGACTAGTAAGGACAATTTAATGTTCTTAGAGAATTTATATAACTTGAATAGATTTAATCTCTTTACTGCTAGTTTAATTACTGTAAGCTTTATAGAAGACGTACCACAGTCTCAAATAATGATGCCACTGGCTCTCGCAGTCTAGGTTAGTTAAATAGTGAACTCGTGCACTATACCAAAGGCGTTTCCCTTCAGGTTATTTGAAAGTCAGAGGCTCTACTGTGCTTAAGAAATTTCCTAGGCTTTAAAGAAAGGAGTCTATTCTCTGAGAGCTAAAGAGCTTAGGGGATCAACTGCAGGTTTGCTGCTAGCTGAATCCTTGAGAGTGTGTGTGATGCTCGGTGGGTTTTTTTTTCTTCACTCTCAGAGAACCTCTCCTATTTATACCTTTCAGCCTGTTGTTTCTTAGCTAATAGCAAAACTGGCTCTTCTATTCTACTGTAATTACTAAGCTACTTCTACTTTTATTAATAAGCATTTGTCTATATTAGTCAGCCTTCTGTCTATTTTACTAATGTTTGTTAGAGTATTACTATATTTTGGTAATTCATAGCTGTTGAGCATAGATCTTTACTAAGCATAGTTTTAGATTACTATAAAGCTGAGTCATATTATTAGTCATTGATTCACTTTTAGTAAGCTTGTGTGTTTACGCTTACTTTGCAGCTCTGAGTAAGCAGTCTCTTTTTAATTTGAATACCTAGCTTATTTCTTTAGTTTTTCTATACTTATAGTTATAATGCATGATAGCGCCAATAAGCTACCACATCTGCTCATTCATGGCCATCAACAAATTGCCCAGTAGGAATCTGTGTCCAGCGATAGGACAGTCAGTGCATCCAGCTCTGTGCTGTTGATAAGCTGATCCCCTTCTTCAGCCTGAACTCCTTCTGTGTTGCCGGATCCCTCATAAAGTCCACAATGTCTATGGCTCGAACATACTTTCCAATAGTCTGCAGGTGAGCATTGATGGCATTCCGAAGCCCGGGTTTCTAATCTAGAAGACACTGATTCCAGTCTCCGTTAATGTAGGCACTGTATGGCAGCACATGACAGTCTGCAATAAAGGCACAGGTCCAGTTGCAAAGTCTTCTTGCTTTTGTCTCTTCCTTCTCAAAGTCATCTACTACCTGCAGTGATGCTTTGACCCAGCCTGCCATGCCCGTGAAGAACCGGCGCAGAAACATGCACATCTGGATCAGCTGGCTATAGAGTTCATTGGTGCCATCAAATGACATATATCCCCCCTTGTATACCTTCATTATTTGTTCTTTAGCTCACACAACAATAACAAAGGTAGATCATCTTCATGTATACTATATTTTAGAGCTCACACAACAACAACAAAGACTATTCCCATTATTTGCATGATTGAGTGTTGCCAGCACATGGTCAGCTTCCACACTCACAAGTTACTCATCATGTAGCAGTCACACCTCTTGTCAACCATGAAATATCCTATGTATGAATACAACATATAGAGCTGAGTAAGACAAGGGCCTGGTCAAAAAATATGATCTCAAGCAATGAGATATAACTAGCCCATGAGCTGTGTAACATCATTTGGAGGGTATTTAGTCTGTGAGAAAGTCAAGAGCCTAGAAAGCAGCTCATATAAGCTTGCAGCATGAAGAAGTTATAGACTAGAAGTACTACCTTTTGAGTGATTGGATATACTTGCGACTAACTTCATCATTCAACACATGAGCAACTTGATCTGCAGATATCTTTTCCCGGGCTGAACGTTCATGAATGCTGTATGAACAAGTTTCAGACCAGATTACACTGCTGGCAGCAACAATGCACAAACCCAACCATGGTTACTCCGATTGGCCAAGGGGCATTGCCGATGGACAAGCGCAAGTATGAGTCATTGGCTTTCTGATATTGGCGCTTTTGCATGTAGTGAACAATTTCAGCGATGCGAGCAAGCATGTCCGCAGGAAGCGACTGATGTTAAAGTCAGTAAGAAACATAGGACACATGGCCAGGTGGCACACCCTTGAACGAAGCAGCTTGAAGAGTGGCTTGAGGTACTCTGCAGACTGGCGCTGAGTGGCAGCGGCAAGCTTGCCTTGGGTTGCTCTCTTCACCAACTCTGCGTTTGGGATGAGTATCTTACAGGTTTCTCGACAAGGGAGACGGAACACACCTGGCCGCTCATCCATCCACTCCTCCCATTCCTTTAACGTCCTCTTAAGCGCATAGTAGATGACCGGGTAGAGCCTGTCGGGATCCGTCTTTACAAGACTTAAGTCAAGGATTTCCACGCCGATGTCTTTCCCTCCTTCCCTTCCCTCCTTCTTCTGCTCCTTCTCGGCCAACTCCTGCTGTGCGCGAATCTCGACATCTTCAAGCGCTTTCTTGAAGTCGTTCTGGCCGCCGTGTCGTTCGTGTTCTTTCTCTTCGATGAGCTCAAGAGCGCGAAGTCGTAAGCGACGGTCCCTGTCGGATTCGCCAAACAGGCGGATGGGCTGGCCCTTGGCGCGAAGTCGACGGATGCACTCCTCGTTGGAGATGTTGAACGTAGTAGAGGATAGAGGGTCTAGTGATGCCGAATCTTGTCCTTCCGGTTTAGGTGAGTGAGTAGTGCAACGCGGGGGGCTCTGGTCTCCGGCATGAATAGGCTTGGTAGCTCACAATAAAATACTCACCTTGCCCTTGACATTAAATATTGCTAGCTTCTCGCTCTCCTTTCTCTCTTTCTCTTCTCGCTCTTTAGCCTCCTTCTCTTCTCTAGCTTTGCGTTCTTGTCCTTGTTTCAAACGCTCAATGTCACCGCGTCGCATGTATTTTGTTGGCCGCTCCACAGACAGCTCCTGCAAATTCTTGCGCTTGTGGGCAATCTCAGTCTTAAGAGCATCCATCGTGAGCGGAGAATGCGCGTAAGTGGTCGGCACCACTGAGAGCAAGAGTGAAGGTCGAGAACCTCATGCCGAGAGAGGCCTTGCCTTTTCGGGACCTTCCGCCAATTCCCGGGTCCTCTGAATCGTCGTCTCTTTCTCCGTCACTCCCCTTCTACAACAAACCACCTCGCCGGTCGCCATGTCTGAGGACCTCTCCAGGTGGGTAAAAAAAAACGTTTTGTTTCTCCATGTATCTTATCTCCTTGCAGCAAGTACATCCTGCAAACCGCGGGCTTTGATGGTCGGTTGCTTTCACCGGCTCAAAATGCCTCATGTTCCAACGTACACTTGCTCTCCTAGCTCGCTTTCCTAACACGAACCAGACGAGGCACTGGTGCGTGCTCAAGCCTTTGAGCCACCGTTTGTCTTATTCAGTCATTCACAGCTTCCAAAACTACACTGACTACTTCAAATGCATTGCTGCAAAGGGCGAAGAGTTCGCGCCCTGCAAGCAGTTTAAGCGTGCATACAACTCGCTCTGCCCCAGTGCGTACATCGACGCCTGTTAATATCTACCCTTTCCTGATCTGCACGCCCATGATGTTCCTGTACATACACAGATGAGTGGGTGAGTGAAACCACACTCCGTCAAGTGTCATGCTTTTAACAATTGTACAGATTGCGAAGTGGGATGAGCAGCGCGAGAATGGCACTTTCCCCGCATCTTTAGAACCCTGAGTGCCCTTTGCATACACGTTCGCGGTGCAAAGGCTGTAGAGTCGGCCGTCAAACTGTCATAATGACTGCAAAATGGCACATATTTTACTGGCTGGTCTGCGGCTCGTCGCGGGATACTGTCGCAGGTATTTTTCCAGTCTTGCAAAAAAGTCAATCGATCGGTTAAGTGCACTGATGAGCATTGTGCACGAAATATACAACGCCCAAAGAGTACTACGCTTGGAAGCATGGCATAAATGACCATAACATATACTTGCCTTCGAGTGACACAGCAGTCTTGAACATACAGGTGTAAGGTAATACTTACGCGTGTAGCGGATACAAAGAAGGATGTGAGAAGTAGACCGAGCAGATCATACACTCATCGGACGACAAAGGCGAGTCAAACTTGCGAGGCTGGCTTTGCGCATCCAGACGTCGCCGGCTAAAACCGAGGGCGTTTCGCTTCACGGTCATCATACCCACCAGGGCCACTGTCGCGCTTAAGGTCTCCGCGATACCCACCACCATCGTATCCCCCGCCAGGTGGGCCATACCCACCGGGCCCACCAGGTCCACTAGGTCCTCCACCGTAGCCGCCACTTGGAGGCCCATAGCCGCCTGGCCCGCTGGGGTTGCCACCCGGTCCTCCATATCCGTTCGGTCCATGGTCACCAAAGCCACCGCTTTGGTAGCCGATGCCTCCACCACCACGGCCGCCGCTGAAATGAACGGTGAAAATCGGAAGGCGGGCAACATTAGCCAGAATATTACTTGCCGGAATCCACCCCCACCATGACCTCCCCTCCCACCCCCGCCGCCATAGTCATCTCTACCGCGGAATCCTCCACCATAACCTCCGCCTCCACCTCGGAAGCCACCCCTCCCACCGCGGAAGCTACCACGGTCCCCACCTCGGAAGCCACCACGGTCCCCACCATCCCCACCACGGTCCCCACCGCGGAAGCCACCGCGGAAGCCGCCTCTACCTGCTATGTATGCTGGTGCTGGCTCAGGCTTCGGGCGACCGCCGAGACCACCACCCAAGCGTCGAGGTTTCCATCCTCGTACCGTGCGTCCTCGCTCGACGTCGACAAGAACTCGCTTGCCCATGATGTGGAGCCGGTCGGATTCCTTGTAAGCAGCTGTGTAGAGATGCCACGGGAAAGATAATACAAACCGCACATGTATCCTATGGTCAACGACGGAGCAACCACAAATTTTGCAGCTTTACCTTTCATATCACGTTCGCGTTCGAAAACGATGAATGCATAGCCCTGGCTGCGCCCGTTCTTGTCGCGGACGATTCTCACCCGTTCGATACTACCAAAACCCTCGAATTCACGACGTAAGTCGCCCTCGGTCGCGCTTTTATGCTGAACGACAAACTAGTCAGTTCGTGTCCACAGCAGAAAAATGGACAATCATACGGACCAAACGAGCAATGAACAGTGTCTTGTAGGGGTCCCCGACGGCCTCAGGGTCATCGGCAGGCTTGTCTGGAATGAGCTCCCATGAGCAGGCCATATAGCACAGCAGAACTCTATGAAGCGCACAGGATTCCTTAGCTATCCGGAACTCCTCAGTTTTCTTCTTCTTCCTCTCTTCTCTCCGCATCTGACGTTTGGTCTCTTCGGCGTGCGTGAAGTTGGGTTCTTCGCCCTCTTCCATGCCTTCGCCTTCACCGGAGTTCATCATTCCTTGTGTCTTTTCTTCTCGAAGCCGAGCGAGAAGCTGGCCAGCACCATCAACATTTTTAGGCCTAACACGGTCAATATCCCGGTCGAGCGGCCGGGTATACGGGAGTGGGGGACGTGGTGCAAAGAGCTTGAGCAAGTTTGGGGGGAGAAGATGGGTGCCGGGCATGTTGGTTGCAGAACGCAGGCAAAAGACGAGACAAAGGATACACTCGAGTGTCGAATAGGTGCTGATCAAGTAGGAAACAAAAAGAGCTGGACTGGCTGTGATGATCTCAGGACCTAAGTCCCGACGTGGTGGAGGGAGACAAACACTGCGTTGAGACGCTCGACACGCCTGGGAATTTTCGGCAGACCGAAAAGCGCCGCGCTCGTTGTCCCGCACTTTCAAGGCTCGCAGCTAGGTATGTAGATCCTTGTATAGCTGTCTGGTCGCAGATTTCACGCTCAATCTCCTAAAGGATGCTAGCAAGAGCTACTGGTGTCACACAACACGTTTTTGCGGGATGTGCTGCAAAACGGACAGTCTATCTTACAGTTAGACTTCTTACGTCTGCTGTCCAGGGCAAGTCCACTTCAGTCGCATTCACATCGTTCTTCTTCCACAACGGGCAGTGGAAGGCAACCAAGCCAACAACGCCCACAAGAAGCCCCGCGATTACGTCGTTTCGTGGCGTCACCATCCCGTACACGGTGGCAAACAGTTCCTCCCCGCCCAGTACCCTCGCGTCACCAGCAAGTTACCGTGAAGTTCAGGTTTTGACACCTCGCAAGCTCTTAAGAGTATATTCCCAGCTCGCAAAGTCGCGACTCACCACGCTAGTTGTCCTCACCGCAATGGCTGGTGTTGCCCTTTCCCCTCTCCCCGCAACTGTGCCTGTACTCCTTTCGACCGCTCTGGGCACCGCTCTATGCTCTGCGTCTGCAAACACCCTGAATCAAATCCAAGAAGTACCGTATGATGCACAAATGTCCCGCACACGCATGCGTTCACTCGTGCGTAAAGCTATCAGTCCTCTGCGTGCTGGCGGCTTTGCTGTCGTCACAGGCATACTAGGACCGGCTTTGCTTTGGACGATGGTCAACCCAACCACCGCCATATTGGGCGCGGCGAATGTTGCGTTATATGCAGGCGCATATACATGGATGAAGCGAACTAGTATCTGGAACACATGGGCTGGGGCGATTGTCGGTGCCATCCCACCACTGATGGGCTGGACAGCATGCGGCGGACAACTTCTGCCCTCGTCCTCGTATCCCGTGGAATTGTTCCTACCATCTCTTCTCACATCGACGCCAACTATGGATTTGTCTCTCATAGACAACCCCTTAGCACCACTCGCGCTATTCGCACTCCTCTTCAGCTGGCAATTCCCGCATTTCAACTCTTTGTCTCACCTCGTTCGCGGGTCGTATGCGCAAGCGGGCTATCAGATGCTCTCGGTGATCTCGCCCTCGAAGAACAGTCTCGTGTCGCTCCGGCACGCTCTCATTTTGGGCTCGGTATGCTCCGTTCTCATCCCCATCTCAGGTCTTACGACCTGGACGTTTGCCCTAACGAGCCTCGTCCCAAATATACTCGGAATCCGAGCGAGTTGGGCCTTCTGGAGGTTCGGTGGGGAGAAGCAAGCGAGAGAGGTGTGGCAGCACAGTCTGTGGTACCTGCCAGTCATTCTTGGCCTAATGATGATCCATAAGCGGGGTATGGACTGGACGACATGGTTTACGAGTGGAGGGGAGGCACAGGAGAGTGAGATGTAGCTAAGCTTTGTTTGTGCTGTATCGGCTAGAATATATGCTACCATACAGACAAGAACATCCGCATTTCTCATGTGCTCTCCTGTGATTTGGTAGCCCTTCTGACCTCCCGCTGCTTGCGAATCGATTCCAGCCTGGTCTTGAGCATTGTAACTCTCGCGTCCGCCTCCTCTTGCGCCCTCTCCTCCTCCATAAGCCTGTCCAAAATGAGCTCCCGCTCCTCCTGTTCCTTCTGCTGCCGCATCTGCCCCTCCGTAAGTTCTTCTTCCGATTCAGTGCCCAAGACATCTATCCCTCGTGGAGGAAGGTCCTCAGAGACCCCCGAGTGCAGAATCGGCTCCGCGAAGATGGTGGCTCGTTGGAACGCCTCTTTTAGATCTGGTGGGTTCAGCACATCCTGCTGGAACGCTTCCCATTCGAGATCAACAGCGTTCGACCCCGCTGATGCTGCTGAAGGTGCAGCAATAACCTCTCCTTCACTGTCTTCCCTGTCGTATGAAGGCGGAGGTGGAGCCTTCGATGCGTCCGAGAAGAAGTCAGCAGGGAACCCACTCGACTCTCTCGTTGGAAGCGGATGCTGCGTGTGCTCCTCATACAGCCGTCTCTTTTTATTCTCCGCAAGTGCGCGATCCTCCTTTCTCTCTCCCTCTTCCTCCTGTTCTTTGGCCTTCCGCTTAGCATGCGCAACCACTTCCTCCCGCTCCCGCTGCGTGTGCACTGCTCGCTTCTGCTCCTCTTCTCGCAACCGTGCTGCATTCACACGGTGTGCTTTGCTACCAACGTGCCCCTCCCATGACGATGCGTGCTTGACAATGGTTTCGCAAGCTATGCATCGCAAGTGTCCACTGGAGGTGTATGACGCCAGTGGGTGGCTGACGCGAGCCCCTTCTCTTTTAGCTTTGAGCAATGCGCGAATGTCAGACATCACGGCTCAGCGGTTGCAGATTATGGTGCTGTGTATTGAAACGAGGACAGATACAAGCAGAGATGGCAGTTGGTTGTTAAGCTCGCGTTAACCTGCGCGCACGTTGTAAAGACCGGGACATTGACGCGCACACATCCTTACATCACTGACGACTGGGCTTTACACTGCAGAACTCGAATCTACTCGTTCTTTGCATATAAGCAGTGTATTACAATAACAAAATGGTCGAGGCTGTATGCTTAGAGCAAAATAAATGCATGCATGAAGCACACAAGGATATTCAAGAATCCTTCAGTTCTTGTCCTTGAACATCTTTTCAATGGCGCCAGTAGAGTATGACTTAGGACGCTCAAGGGCTGGAAATAATGTTAACACTGCCATAAAACAAGATGAGCGAAAGATGACTCACGCGCACCAAGGGCACGATCCCATATCAGCTGAGCGGCGACACCGAAAGCACGAGATACACCAAAGAGGACGGTGTAGAAGTTCATCTGGTTGAGACCGTAGTGGGTAAGGAGGACACCAGAATGAGCGTCAACGTTAGGCCAGGGGTTCTTGGCCTTGCCAGCCTAGATGAAGAGTCATTAGCCGTTTCATCTGGCACATATGTTTTATGTACCTCAAGTAGAATATCTGGTACAATGTTGTAGATCTGGCCTACAAGCTTGAACAGTGGATCGTGAGGTAGATGCTTGAGGGCAAACTCGCGTTGAGCAGTGTAGCGAGGGTCAGTCTTACGGAGTACAGCGTGACCATAGCCTGGAACCACCTGACCGCCCTTCAGTGTGGACCAGACATACTCCCTAACAGCCTCATCGCTGGCATTCTCGCCAATCTTGGACTGCATGCGGCGGAGCCAGATCAAGACCTCCTGGTTAGCAAGACCATGAAGGGGACCAGCAAGACCATTCAGAGAGGCAGCGAAGGCCAGGAAAGGGTCGGACAAAGCGGAACCGACAAGCTTGCCGGTGTGAGCAGAGACATTGCCACCCTCGTGGTCGCTGAGCACCAGTGACGATTAGCAGGTATTAATCTCCATAGCTACTAAGACACACCTATGAATAGTGATGTAAAGACGCATAAGCTCGACAAAGGCAGGGTTTTCACTAAAGCCAAGCAAAGTGGCCAGATTCCAAGAATAGTCTTTATTGGCATCGATAGCTGGGAGCTTTCCCTGGCCGTAGACGTTATGGAAGATACGACCAGCGATGTTGGGCAACTTGGCAATCCTGGGTTTTGTTTCAACGTCGGCCAATCGCCGAGTGTGCAAATCAGTCACTTACAGATCCATACAGTCTTCGAATACAGGACCCCAATAGTCCTTCTTGGAGATGCCCTGTTGGTAAGCCTTCGCGAAGCTGGAGTCGTGATTGAGCTGATGTGTCGTCATTGGAAGCAAGTTCAAGACGTATGAAGGGGAGAGCATACCGCAGTAACAGCGAGCGAGAATTGGCTCATAGGGTGCAGCGTTGGAGGGCAGCGGTCAAGGAGCTCCTCCACAAACTCGGGGATGGTAGCACGAGCGGCCCAGTCCTTGGAGAGGGCAGTGACCTGCTCCTGAGTGGGTATCTCTCCGGTGACGAGGAGCCAGAAGAGAGCTTCGGGGAGGGGCTCGTTGCCTCCCGGGGCCTTAGGGAGTAACTCCTGACATTCAGGAATGCTCTTGCCACGAAAGCGGATACCCTCCTCTGCAGCATGCGTTCACTACCTTTTCACATTGAGAAGAAGCTGACGTACCAGGGTCGAGGACGGAGCCTTCCCAGATGAGGGCAGGAAGGCCGCGCATACCGCTACATACGAGGTTAGTGAAAGAGACTGGAGATAGAGGACAACGTACCCGTAAAGCTGGTCAACGAGGACGGGACCGAATGCTTTTTTGCCGTGCTCAACGCGGGCAGCTTTGACCTGCAGAAAAAATGAATTGAGAGCTGGGGACAATTCGGGCAGCCAACTCACGTGTTCGAGCTCGACAGGGATGAGCTCGGTGAGGCGCTCTTTCAACGTCTGCTGCTTGCTGGTAGAGGCGAAGCGGAGAGAACGGCCGAAGGCCAGGCGTGGAGTCTGCCAGCGTACATAGGAATGAGACACTGAGCAAACGAAAAGAGAAGATTACAACCGACCTGACGAGTAAGAGAGCGGAAGGCTGTTGCCGACATGTTGGACATGGTGGAGGGTGATGAGGAAAGAGCGAAGGTCTAAAGAAAGTCTGGGGAGGCATGAGCTAATTGGGTGAGATACCACGTGACCGTGACCCGATAACTCCCGTCTCTTGATCTCTAGGACACTTCGCCCTAAACGCCCACTTTGATGCCCAAACGCAAGCGAACGTCCAAGCTGAGAGGCTTGCACATCCGGCAGCAGGACGATAGCAGACTACTCCCTCAGGTATGCCCCAAACCCCATCTGGTCTTCTGCGCCCCACTCACCTGTCCATTCCCTCAGAAACGCCACTACCGACAGCGCGCGCACGCAAACCCCTTCTCGGACCATGCCCTTGACTACCCAGCATCTCCAGCGCAGATGGACTGGAGCGTGCACTACCCCGCATTCACTAGCGAAGGTAAAACACCAGAGTTTGCAGACGTAGGCTGCGGCTTCGGCGGCCTGCTTATCGCCCTCGCCCCCATATTGCCAGACACCCTCATGCTTGGTAAGTCTCCTCTGGTCTCTCGAAGTCCGCATTTCATTCAACACATAACTACAGGCATGGAAATCCGGGTGCAAGTCTCCCAATACGTCCAGGATCGTATCGCCGCCCTTCGCGCCACGTCCGCGCCCAATGAATCCGCCTCGCACGGCCTCTACCAGAACGTCTCAATCGTTCGCGCCAATGCCATGAAGTTCATGCCGAATTATATCCCCAAAAACTCTCTGTCTTGCCTGTTCTTCCTCTTCCCTGATCCACACTTCAAAGCTCGCAAGCACAAGGCGCGCATCATCTCACCGACGCTGCTTGCGGAATATGCATATGTCCTTCGTCCGGGTGGTATCGTCTATACCATCACAGATGTACACGATCTGCACCAGTGGATGAAGGCACACCTGGAAGCATTTCCCTTGTTTGAGCATGTAAGTGAGGATGCTCTTCGCGCAGAGGGCAAGGGCTCTATCCTTGATGCTGTATGTAATAGTACAGAAGAGGGTAAGAAAGTGGAGCGAAATCAGGGTGAAAAGTGGCTTGCCTGTTTTAGAAGAGTGGTAGCTAATAGATGCAATTAGATAATTCACATTTTACTACTGTAATGTGCATTGGTAGTTAACAGACTATGAGCATCATATTGACTAAGCACAGTTACTGTACTTTTTTGACCTGAACAGTGGCAGATGTGGCTGTGTGTAAGACTGTCATTGGGAATGGCCTCTCACTTGTACTGTGAATCTGAACTGACTTTATTTGAGTCCTAAATATACAGTGTACAAGTGAGAGATAAAAATCTACTTAACCTGAGATTTCAAGCTTTATGAGCCAGAGAGCCTGAAATGCTTATCTAATCTAATGAGCACCTAAAGGGCATGCTGCCATGTTGTCACAGAGACAAGGTTTAACACTTCTACTAGGAAGGTTTCTTAGGGATCTGGCAACGAGGAGTGTTGTATCTGTTAGGAATGGTTGGACCAGTTGTTTGCTTGCAAAAAAATGCACAGCAAGAATGAACAGTTTTCTGGACCAGTTGTTAAGTTGGGAATTCTCAGTTATTCATGAAGGGAATGGATTGAATGTCATGTAGCAGGAGTGAAGGTTGTAGGCTGAGGTTATCAATAACCTGAGCCTATAATACTGCCAATGATAATAGACACTTGCTCAAATGCAAGTGGCTAATTATTTCTATGTCTATGCCTATGCAAGCCAAGATGGACCCTAGCTATCTGAGCTAGTGCTGTTCCACTTACTTGCTATAAGCCCTGGTTGTTATACAGTCAATACTGTATAACTAATGACCAAACCTATTGAGCTACCAAAGCTCAGGAACAATGCTTTCTGGCCAGCCTAAGTGCTGAGGAGAGCTAAAGAGTTGTTGTTATCTGGAGGCGTACAGTACAGCTATTTATACTAATATGAGCTTATTTGAAATAGAGAGAAAATAATAGTAGGAATACTACTTTAGGCTGTGTATAAGCCAAATAATTATTTATGATAGAAGACTCTAAAAAATTCAACCAAGTTCCAGAGAATTTTAGAGAATTCTGAGAGATTCCACCTGGTTCTCCAATACATTTGAAGGTCCTGGTATATATATGAGAGAAATTTGAAACTTTTTTATTGCAAAAAATGCAAAAACAGCTTGAAAAAATAAGTAAGAAAATGGTGTATTTTTCACTTGATATCCAACAGTTCAGCAATTTGGCAACTCAGCAGCTGAGCCAATTATTGTCCAGATGCCACTGTTCCCAGATAAATGGCCTGGCAAACAATTGGCTTGGCTGCCAGATTGCCAAGTTGTTGGGCTGCCAAATACCAAGAAAAAAAAACAACATTTCCTGACTTATTTTTTCAAGCTGCTTTTGCATATTTTCTGTGACAAAAAAGTTTTAGATTTCTTTCCTGATACAAGTAGCCTTACAGAGAGTGTAGCTTTTATGTGAAAAGCTTTGATGGTAGTTGCTACTATTATTATGCATCAGATCAAGTTGACACATAATAAAGGCTAACAGAGACAAATACTGGGCAGACACCAAAGCATGGGTGGCCCAGATAGACCCTGATAGGAGCTACTGTTTGAAAAGAGAAGAACTTGGCATTTGGGCTCCTAAATATCTGGTGCCTTGGAAAGAGCAGGCCAGATCTTTGGAACAAGCCAGAACTGGTGCCAGAACATATAGGAGCTAATCAGAAAGGCTTAGTATTTGTCAGAAATTTGTCAGGACTTAGCTAGGACAAATTAGAGAGGAACCTGAGTAGGAAGTAGCTTAGAAATACAAGCCCCTATGAGGGTTTCTCAGGTGTATATAAACCACCACTTATGTACCTAGTATCTCAGCCCCATATTGAGCAGTAATTTCTCTGCACTATGGTCAGCTTCCTCTGAATTTCAACCACCTGCATAGATAACATCTGGTTCAGAGGTCTTTGTGTGTGTTTATTCCAGATACCTGCTATTGAATCCTAGCTCCAGCTCAGTTCTTTGTCCTCAAGCAAAGTCAGTTCCTGAGTATTTCTTAGTCCACCTGGTGTTTGTGTCACTTGTGTGATAGTGAGTTTACTCAGTCAATCAGCCAGGCAAGATCTTGAGTCCGCCTAGCAATTCAATGCTAAAGCATGATATACAAGCTTTGTCTTACATTAGTCTCACTAGGTTGATAGCACATGACTGTCTTTCAGTGGTCTCTGTTGGTGCCACATCTCTGCTTGTAGTTTATCTTCAAGTAGATCTACTGTGAAGCACTTCCAGTCTCTCTATAAGTATATCTTTGCTTGTGACCTACATCCTCTTTCTCAAATGCCCAAGGTAAAAGTTGACCTAACGTCTGGTCCATCTAACTCAATTAAAAGGCAAGCTTAGTTCCTTTCTAAGTCTTACTTTCTTCACTCATGATACCATATATGAGCATACCTGTTTGTTTACTCATATTAGTACTATTTGGCCTTGCCTAGGCATATTACCATATAAGAAAAGGTGCCAGAGTGCATATGTGCACTATTAGACTTGCTTGATGTTGCCTATCCTTTCAAAGTTTTTCATGGCTTAGTGCCAAACAACTTTGACACTTGTCAGCATGCAGAGTGAGTCACACACACAACTAATAAAAGTTTATGCAAGAGTACTAGCCTAGTATGACCAAGTTGAAATTGAATAGCTAAGAGAATACAAACAAAGGCTTATCTAGTCCAGTAAGACCAAGAGGTCAAGATGGAGCTAGAAAGTGATAGAGTGTCCCTACTTATACTACTCAGGCTGTGCACAAACCAGGCATTATATAAGCTATAATAAGGCTGGAATAGAGGACGTTAGTGCAAAGATTAAAACCAGTAAGTCAGAATGTCTGATATAACTAGAATTGAATGTTCATTGCTGATTGAACTCTAATAGCTGTGACTTAGTCATTATAACGTATAGTCAGGCCAATAGGAATCAAAGGTCCAATGGTGATCAGAGAACAGTGTTCATTAAGGCAGCTGTTACTAAGACAGCATAATGTGACAAGAACAGAATGCTGATGCACTGATGTGTATGCGTCAGTGACTCACTTGATATAGGCGTGCATTTAGGACTTTGTATATGTCGTCAGAGACTGTGAGCATTAAATTAAACAAGATAAAATTGAGGAAAATCAGGAAAAATTGAGAAGAGGCTCTATGGCCATGACATGGGTAATCATAACATTGTCAAAATTGCACCTTCTTAGTAATTTGAGCTGGACCTGCTTAAGCACTGCTCTTACATTCACCTTTTCAAGCTAAAGTGCAGCAAAGATGACACAAGAGATATAGACTAAAATATAAAGTAGTGATGAAAGAACAGTAAAAATAAAACTTTACAAGTGCCCACAATATCTTAGATGTCCATAGGGATCTTATGCTGAGAGATGATATTGTGTACCACCATGCATTAGGCAAGCAAGCTGTCTCAGAGCTCAGATTGCCTCTTAGTAATAATCTCAGTCTTGTAAATGTGCTTGGCCATTGTAGAATCTACATGTTTGAAGAAGTTAAGCACAGCTTGATCAGTCACCTCGTTGCAGTAGTCAAAGCAGATGCTATGGTCAATGATGCCAATATTTAATAGTATGCCTTCGTAATGATGCATGTAGCATACACAGCTGAGCTAATGCAGAGTATGAATGCCTTGATGCAGCTCTAGACTCCATTTAGATGTAATGAGCATACTGAGCAATTGACAACAGCTGATAACCTTGTTTATCTTTCTGTCTTGCTCGACCCAGAAAATAAAGCAGTTGGGGTTATTGTTGAGATATTCCTTCTAGTAGTCAATAAACACAATCTTGAAGCATGGAGATTGTTTGTGTTGCCACTATTTTGGATTACATCTGAACTGCTGCCACTATTTAACTGCTATATTCTTAACTAGCATTACAGATCACAGTTAAACTTGTCGCTTTATCAAACTGATGATCAACTGTTACCTGTTACATCTGCTGCCAGACTGGTTGTACAAATACAGTATAGTGTAATATGATCACTATATATATATTATTGGCACATATTGGAATTAGAAGTTTTTTACACTTGTATCATATTTTACAATACTAGAAAGATGTTGTAGGTTCAAGAATTGCAAATTTTAGCATTAGCAGATTGAATATATCAAAACCAAATGAACTCTCTTGTAATATATAACAAACACTAAAAGGTGAGAAACTTCCAAATTTTATTGAAATGTTCAGTAATTTTTGCAAATTAGCCTGAAAACTAAGCTAAACAGTGAAAGCACATCAACCAGTAATTTTGCCCAGAACACTTAAAAAGAGTGGTATAACCAGAGCACACTAAGTATATACTCAATTTTAGTGGAAAGCCATTTGATCTCATTGCTAAGAGAAAAACCATGAGAGTTAGCACTACAAAACTATGCATGACATATGTGCACATGTTGTGTTTGTTAGAGATGGTTGAACTAGTTGTTTGCTTGCAAAGAAATGCACAGCAAGAATAAATGACTGTTTGCTGAATTTTCTGAACTAGTTATTAAATTGGGAATTCTCAGTTGTTATGAAGAAAATGATTTGTATGTTGTGTAGCAGACGTGGAGATTATAGGCTGAAGTTATCAATAGCCTGAGGCTACAATAATGCCAATAATAATAGATATTTGTCCACACAGGTGGCAAACTCAACCTTCAATCCTTTCAGCAAAATTGACTGGAAATGACCTCTATTGACCAGTTGATCTTTTGATCAGTATTGTACAATAAGTGGTGTGCTGTGCTTCAGATATAGCAGTGATGTGCCTACTAATATAGGAAATTGCTTTGTAAGCAGTTTGTGTGGTTTGTGAAATGGAATTCTCACTGGTCTATAGCACCAAGCTTATTGACCCACTTTTTCCAGCTTGAGCAGCAGTCAAGTTTGCTTTTTCTACAGTCAACTGTGCTTTGAGCTGCTAAGAGCTGCCGTTTGCACATCTATCTCAGAGTGCTGCCTCTGCAAGACAGTGTTGGCCTTTTGTTCATTGCAAGCATACTCTGTTTCATGCTTCCACCAATAGCTCAAGTGTTAGCAGTCCAGTTCTTTGACTTGGCTCAGGGCAAGCTGTTTTACTTCAGCTCTAATGATATTTTCATCTATACCAGCTGTTCGCAGCTGTCTGGCTGCTGTATTTGATTGCTAGAGTTGTCTATTCATGCAGCCAGAGGAGCAGATCAATGAAAAGCTTAGAGAAGATGTGTTTTATCAAGCTTCACTACATCACCAAGTTGTCTGAGTATCAAAGCTCCCACTTATAATAATAAGATGAGACTCATAGTTCATTCAGCAGTATTTTTGACAGTGATGATGAGCACAATTATTGCATTTAGTACTTTCTGATGACACATTCAAAAGTGGTCCCACTGGATTCATCTGGCCTTATGGATCTCTGCTTAGCAAGTGTATCGTTGCCTTATCCAGTACATCATTGGTGTCGATCAAGAGATTTGCTGTTTGATCAACTGGGTCTAACCTCCAGTTAATTTTGCCAAAAAAACTGAAGGTTGAATTTGCCTCCTGTGCCAAATGCAAGTGGCTGATTATTTCTATGTCTATATCTATGCAAGTCAAAATGGGCCCTAGCTATCCAAGCTAGTGCTGTTTCACTTACTTGTTATAAGCCTGAGTTGCTATGCAGACAGTACTGTATAACCGATATCCAAACCTACTAAGCTTTTAATGCTCAGGAGTAATTATTTCTATTTAGCCCAAATGCTAAGAAATAGAAGATTGTTGTTATTTTAGAAGTGTACAGTACAGATATTTACACTAGTATGAGTCTATTTGAAATAAAAATAACATAATAGTAGGAATACTACTTTTAGCTGTGTATAAGCCAAATAATTAATTATAATAGAAGATTTTAAAAGATTTCAACAAGTTCCAAAAGATTCTGAGAGATTCTGAAATGTTTCACTTGGTTCTCCAAGGTTCTGTTCCATTTCAGCAGGTTCTATGGCTTGTATAAAATGTTTTAGTGGGTTCTCCCATACATTTAAAGGTCCTGATAGGTACAGATGGTCTTATAGAGAGTGTAGCTCTTATGTGAAAAGCTTTGATGGTTGTTGCTACTATATATAGGTATACCTGTTTGTTTACCCATATTAGTACTATTTGGCCTTGCCTATGCATATTACCATATAAAAAAAGGTGCCAGAGTGCATATGTGCACTATTAGGCTTGCTTGATATTGTCTATTCTTTCAAAGTTTTTTATGGCTTAGTGTCAAATAATTTTGACACCCGTCAGCATGTTAAGCTTGCTTTCAAACAAAACATATATTCTGCTCTTGACTTTGCTCTTTATTCTCTTTCATTATGTTAACTTTCTCTCAAGTTTTATTATTTAATCTATAGGTATGCACCTCACTGGCTGCATATGTTTATGTCACAGCTGCCACTGGTTATTTTTTCAATAACTAAATATCACATATTACATAGCACTCATTCAGTTATTTAGTTTAGTGCACTTGTTATCAGACCATTTGATTTAGTTGTAAAAGCACAATATTAAACATGGTAGAATGGCCAACAATTGCTCAAAACAGCAGTGGCAGCTACAGCAACCTGTGTGCATCTTAATAAAACCTTTGCTTACACTTAGTCTGAATAACTCCAGCAGCAATCTGGCATCATTTGCAACAGGTCTTACTGTATGTTAGCTGTCTGAGCTTACATCACAATGATAAAGACTGTTTTCATTACAGCAAGCTTTTAGCTAAGTAATGAGCTTTAAAGCAAATTTGACTTCTGTCACTTTAGTTAGACTCTTGTTAGTCACTGGAATCTTTTCATAATGTGCCAAAATTTTCTTTACAACATTATCGTATGCACTTGTACATTGTAAAGTTTGATGAAACAAATGGAAAGGGATCATCAGTGTCACTGAATCTCATTGGTCTATACTAAAAAATTAGCAGGTAAATTATTGACAGCAACCACTGCACATACTCTAATGGACCAAGGACACGCAAGCCCCTCACATGGGTATCCTTTCCATTCATGTGGTTGGCAACAATGATCACTTGGAGAACATAGGCATATATGGGTTTGCTGCATTACAGCCAATCAGCAAACCTAAGAGAAAGGTCCTTTGGGAGAATAAACCTACAAGCCCTCACCATCCTCACCAAGAGGTTCCATTGAAACATCAAAGGTGAACCACCCATCAGGCTTCTCAAGAGACACCACTCTGCAATCTTGCAGGTCAAGAGGTCCAGTTCCTGCACGTACAGCAATAGTGGCAGGTGTGTATGAATCATCAAGAGGGAAGCACAGGTAAATGCTTAATTTCTAGCAAAAGCTCATTAGCATATACATCTGTGACTCCACAAAGGTACACAAACTTGTACTGCCACTTTACGCGGAAATTCAATAGTAATGAAGTGCGGCTGGGGACCATCAGAGCTACAAAATAGTCAGGAAGGCAGTAAATGGCAGGTACCTTGGGCTTACTGCCAAAATGTCTCAGGGTCGCCATCTTGCAGACATTCAGGTCCGAAGCCGAATTTGAAGGATGAGACAGACCATTTGGCCATCTGACCGATGTCTGGCCATGGCAGCGGAGGAGGAATTCGTGCTGGCAGGCCGTGTCAATTATCAGGAAACAGCCAAGTCTCACCAAGGCCAAGACTTGGCATACTTTGATACATAATTGCGGTTCCATCAGTGCTGGTAATAGAGGGGGGTGCGGGCCCCATATGCAAGGCGGGACCCGTAGCACTGACGCTAGCCATTACCTTCGATGATGGGCCCGAGGGAGAGACTGCCCGAGACAAGCGACGGATTGCGTTGTGATAGTCTAGAAGGACTTGTAGTAAGCTTAGAACAAGTATCAGAAGCAAGAGACGAATAGCACATGCGACGTTTACTCACCGACGTGTTGGTCAAGGACAAGTCGCCTGAGGAATCGCACGGGACCCGCGGCATCAAGCGCTCGGGAAGATCCGTCGCGCATGCCTACCACTTCGCGACCACTTTCCTGCGCTGGTACTTCGCGTCTGGAGTTACCTTGGCTCCAGCTCATCTTGCACAATGGACGTCCCTCGGCTTGCGCTTCTCGATTATCAGCGGTATGGCAGACAAATGATATTAGAAGGTTTCGGTCTTGCAGGTACGGACAAACTTATACTTTATCTGCTTTAACGCACTGCATAATTTGTACTGCAGGCCAGCTAAAACTCAAGGCAGCGTCAGTCGCTGTGATTGGTGCAGGAGGCTTAGGCTGTTCCGCCCTGCAATATCTCGCCGCTGCTGGAGTAGGTGAGCAGACGTGAGCCTGCGCGCCTAGACGGAGCTCAGCTTCCTGGAGCAGGTAAACTTGGAATTATCGATCACGATGTTGTCGAAACCTCCAACCTTCAAAGGCAAATTCTTCACTCTGACGAGAAGATCGGTCTTTCCAAGGCCGTTTCTGCTGCACAAGCCCTGAACCAGTGGGACAGACTTTTGTTGCGGTATGGTTGCAGACGGCTGATAAAGAGACAGAATCAACCCCGGATGCCATGTCATTGCCCATGTATGCGCTCTGACATCCCGCAATGCTCTCGAAATATTACAGGCATATGACATCATTCTGGACTGCACAGACAATCCCCCTACTCGTTACCTTCTCTCCGACAGCGCGGTCAAGCTTGGGAAGCCGCTCGTCAGTGGGGCGGCGCAAAAGTTTGAGGGTCAGCTGTGCACATACAACCTCGGTGACGATGGTCCTTGCTATAGGTGCCTATTCCCAAGGCCGCCCAGCGCAGAGACGACCGGTAGTTGCGCAGAGTTGGGGATCCTCGGAGCAGTGACCGGTGTTATAGGTAACCTCCAGGCTCTCGAAGCAATCAAACTCATTGCAGGTTTACATGGTTAGTATGTACACTCCATATGATAAACATACTGGAAGTCCAACCGACATTCGTTATTTAGACGGAAAGCCCAGTCTTCTTCTGTTTTCCGCACTCTCGTCAATGCCGTTCCGCACAATCAGGATTCGTCCGCGCCGGCCGACATGTCCAGCCTGTGGTAAGGAGGGCGAGCGCACAGGCACTATCGCTGAGACCGATTATGTCGCATTTTGCGGAGGAAGTCGGCCAGATTGGGTAGTACTAGGATTGCAGGAGGGCAATTCTGGTCACAGGCTAAGAGCAAAGGTGTTTAGAGATCGGACTTGAGCTTCTGCGTCTACTGAATGGCTGTCAACAGGATTTAAAGGAGATCTTGCAGTCAGAGAGAAAGCCTCTCCTGATTGATGTTCGCCTACCTGTCGAGTTCGGTATCTGCCACCTGCCCGAGTCAAAGAGTATGCCCTCTCCTTTATCTGAATTCGATGGACTCGTTGATCCGCCCCCTGTTAGACGTGCCACTAGCAGAGTTTGTAGCCAATCCACTAGCATTTGTCCCGGAGGCAGAGGAAGAGACGTACTTCATTTGTCGACTGGGAAATGATTCTCAGATCGCCACCGAAGCGCTGCGAAGCGTCAGGAAAGACGGGATGGTGAAAGACCTAGTGGGCGGCCTGAGGGCATGGGCCAATGAGGCTGACCCAGACTTCCCTATATATTGACGAGTGCCTGTATCTGGGATTCTGACATCCAGACATGTAGTATTAAGTCTGATTACTTCATCGCGAAAGACTAGATTGTGTGACTGAGTACAACACCCTCTATGGGGACTCCGTTATTCCTAAGCCCATCCTGCAATTTCATTGCTACTTCACCGCATCAATGACCGTCCACTGTTGATACAGGTGAGCCAATACAAATCTTAATGATACAAGCCAATGACTCGCCTAACCGTCTTCCTGTCTACAACCGCAACTTCCGTCTTCGCTCTGTTAAGCACCTTCTGGAATTCACTGACACGGTGGCGCATACGAGAGTGCATGTAAGCCTTAGAGCATTTGATGTGATAGTGGAGATAGTCCCGGAAATTCTGAATGTGGCTGATGGTCAACTCGGCGACGGCAGGATTGGCAAAATGGCGAGGAAATAAAATGAACGTGACATAGCCGACGTCTTCTGTTTGTGTCAAGTTTGGCAGGTGGCGGAGCTCAAGGGGCGGGTCCCGCGTGGTGTAAAGGACCTGGGGTGCGCTTTGGATAGCCGGAAGACGTCTCGCGTCGACAAATTCCTGAGAAACTGGTGAGGCTCACCATAAACTGACACTAACATGGATGTACCTGTAAGAAGACTTTACCATAGATCTTGTCTGCCTCCTCTCTGAACATAGTGGAGAAAATGACGGTTACGCGATCTGACAAAGCTTGGACATAGATCGCCTCTTCATCACGATAGTGCAGAGCAAGTAGGTCGCCCTGGCCGGATCCAGCAGAAGCTAACTGCTTCTGTGTCTCGAAGGCAAATTCGAAAGGGGCGGCGAGGGCGTTACGCTTTAGCAGAGAAACGGATTTGATCAGCGCTTCGCGTTCATCTGGACGACATCAGTGGCGAATAGGAGAAGAGTAGCAGTCGAGTGCTCACCTCCTTCAGGAGGAAACTTTTCGAGATCTAATTCCAAGCTGATGTTGTACTCTGGCTCCGCCTCAGCCTTCACGCGGTCACCATACACCCTCCGCAAGGCCTTGTCGACGCCGTACTTAACGAGCTCGTCCCAACACCGGATGCTCATTGAAAGCAAAAGGCAGGTCTTACGCTCGGGAGTAGAAAGATGGAACCGAATTCCATCGAAGTCCACAAACTGGACGTCGAGGGAGGCGGGCCTGACCGCAGTGAGCTTCATGGGACGCAATGCAGTCACGCATAGCTTACTGACTTAACGAGCTTCTCCGCGAGTGTCGTTTGAATGATATAGTTGTTAGACTATCCAGGACAATGAGGCACAGCTTCAGAGAGGACTAGGATACATACCTCGAGGAGAATCATGGCGGCAAGGTGGACGATGACGATGAGATATTTGGCCAGGAACTTAGCGACCACTAGGCGCTAATAAGCGTGAGACAGGTCTTAATAGGCGCTCACGGCTGAGGCCCAGAATTTGTAACTTCGCTGCTAACGGCCAGCGACGCCTGTACCGCTTGCGTTCCTCACCTAGAAATCTCGATTTCTTGTAGTAGAATTTGTTCAGCATGCGTACGCGGTGTGTCTACCTTTCAGAGCGGCTCCTTATGCTCATAAAGCATGTCCCACACAGCGCCCAAGAAAGCACAGAAAATGTCTCTCAATGAGTTTTTGGGGGATAACAGTGAGCATCCACATCTACATTGATGTATCTACAGTATATACACCCCCTGTATAGCCCTAGGTTCATGGGCTGACGAGATGGATGCCCTCCCTACTGCTCGTAAGTGTCGGTGCTCTTCGTGTGAAGCCCTGGCTCTGAAGAAAGTGCAGCCGCAGCTAGGTCGGACGAGGACCGATCTCGCGCTGGGGACCGCCGCAGGGACGACTTTCTTTCCACTAGGCGTACGTCTAGAAATCAAATACACTGCTGTCTTGGATCTCACTCTGCTGTATAGCCGACCGTGGTCCTCCTTCTCACTCTCTGCCCACCGAGCCCCCCTACATCGCTTTTGTCGGTAACTTAGCTTTCGACCTGACCGAGGCGGATCTTGAGGAGTTCTTTGCCGGCCATCAGGTGCGTCGCGTCTCAATTTAAGCTGCATCTAAATCTAATCTTATTACAGACGAAGTCCGTAAAAATTATCAAGGACAGGGAGGACAAGCCCAAGGGCTTTGGCTACGTCGAGTTCGCGGACCTTGATGGCCTAAAAGCTGCATTGGACATGTTCGGTACCGTGAGTGACTCTGCCAATATTATTTTTGCTCTAACGAGCTCGTTCGTAGAGCCTTGCGGGCAGGAGCGTTCGCATTAGTGTTGCAGAACCTCGTGAGTGTCTATAACCACTCTACCTTTCGGTCATCTTAGCTGCTGCGTAGCCAAGGAACGCTCCAGCTTTGGAGGAGGGGGGTTCGATGATGACAAGTTCTCTGGAAACTGGCGCCGAGATGGCCCACCCCCTGATTTGCCTTCTCGTGGTGGATCTCGCAGCCAGTTCGAAGGTGGTACGGCTCGTGAGCCTCCCCCGCCTTCTGTGTCTGAAAGCGCAAACGATTGGCGCTCCAGTCGCCCTCGAGCTTCCATCCCACCCGAATCTGAGGCTCCCTCTTTCAAGCGTCGCGGTTCTGGCCTCAGAAGTCCAGACGCTCCTCCGCCCGGTCCCGCCGATACGGAAGAAAAGTGGTCCATCGGAAGCAGATTTCAGCCTTCCACCCCTTCCGAACCCGCTAGTAGGTTTGGCAATGTCCGCGGACGGGGAGAGATGGGTCCTCCTCGCGATCCTGCTGATGAAGGTGATTGGAGGCGGGCTCCCGCTCCGCACAATAGCACATCACGTGAGCTGTTGTACCCGGCAGGCATTGGCATATATTTATTTACATCATAACTCTTTAGCCAATAGCTCGGTACCTCCGACTCCTCAAATGGGCCGTCGCAAGCTGGAGCTTCTGCCTCGTTCGAGTTCTTCTGCGACGCCATCACCCCTTTCTTCGCCTAATCCTGCCCACAGCACCTCGAAGCCCAGCCCTTTTGGCGCTGCTAAGTAAGACAGCTCTGAAATATGAGGTTACTATGCACGTACTTACATTCAATCAGGCCGGTCGATACTATAGCCAGGGAAATTGCTGTCGCTGAACGCCTTGAAAAAGAGCGCGAACAGGCCAGGGAGCGCGTCACTCATCCTATGTCTCGTACTTCCTCTCGTACTGGTTCGTCGCGTGGTGAAGTTCTTCCTTCTCGTCCCGCTGCTCCTCCCGCGTCGCCGAAGACCGCTGAAGCCCCAAGGCCAGCAGCTCCTGCTGTGGCGAACATTCGCCCTTCATTTAGTTTTGCAAACGCTGCGGCTGGCAAGAGGGAGATCGTGCAGGAGGACAAAGTAGATGAAATCACGAATGAAGTCGCCAACCTCGAGATTTCTTGATATCTTGGTGTTATATCTGGTCCTTCCCCCAAAACTGCAGCTCGTTCTTTTGTGTTGATTGTGTCTGGTCTACTCTTTGCGGTGTCGTGTCCAAGTCGCATACCTTATCAACCCTAATGTATGCAAATAATCCTCTTCATGATCGACCAAATTCCTTTAGTGATAATATATAACCGGCATCGATGCACACAAATACGACGCATACAGCAATTCCTGTCTTAGCGGCCACCGGCTGTGAGAGAGCTCGTAGTCAAACAACCTCCTGCCGCTGCTTCCTCGCCAAACTTAAATCTGCTCAAGTGCTACTTCTAACATCATGGATGCCAGTGATCTTGGGGTGATCTGCCGGATTCGCTCGAGACTCGTATACGGCAACAACAGGGTCGGTTTTGCGCTGTCAGTCGTTCTCACATTTAGACTGTTTCATGAGATGTACCCAACGCACCTCCGTCCACTGTCCCAAGAAGCCCACATAGTAGATGCGGGTAGTGTCTCCGCCTTGCGAAGCCGGAAAGAACAGCGTGATTGAGGTTATCGCTGGAAATTTCGCTGACCTACACAGAGTGAGCAGCGGCGATGATCGCTGCATTTCTGATGCTTACAATACATGGTATTCCCCAACATCGCGTCCCTGAGGTACCTCGAATTCTTGCGCAGGCTTGCGTTCAATGACGTCGGAAAAATCCAAATGTTCTAGATTGCTGAGCTGTTTCATGAGGTCAATACCATAGCTATCAACAGACAGTGCTATGCGGACTGACCAAAGACACTTTTGCGGGAGTCTGGTCACCAGGTCCAGCTTTCAGCAGGAGTGCACGTAGCTTTACGGAACCGGTGAATGGTACACGAATGATACTACGTGCCGCCTAAGTATGAGCCAGTGCGGACCGTGAAGGAAACGCACATTTGGTCATCTGCATCAGAGTCCAGGTACTGCGGAGAGACGAGAGAATGAATGGAATGTGCTGCTTGATTGAGGTTACTCACCATATCTTCGTTCATGCGTTCATGCCATGGCTTGACTACTTCTGGACCTTTACCGTTGGCGACATTCAGTGCGACCACATTGTCACGATCAATGCGCAAAAATAGGTTGTCCCTGTGTCCTTGCGACTCAGGAACATCGTGATCATGGTCACACTCTGTACCACACCCATGGCTATGGTCGTGAGGCATGTTACAGTCTGCTGTTTCTTTTGAAAGAGTTCGCACCGGATGAGAGGCAGGTGCAGAGTCAATAAGCGGGATTATGCCGGTGTCATCATCGCCAAGCAAACAGAGGTAAATAGTGCCTCTACATACGTACCCACCCGTTGAGGATATTTTGTCTGTCCCTGGTTTGCGTCAGTTTTACCGTGAGTACCTGTCCTTACTCTGCTCAGATGATGGTACTTCATGTAATTTGCGTTCGACAGCCTCAGTCCTACACAAAGGGATGCGCTCGCCTGCGCATTCTGGGACTGAGGAAATGAGACATTTTTTCTTGCTGATTCCTCGCTCGTGATGCCTCTGCTACTCACTAACGACCATCTCTTCAGATCTTCAGAGTCTCGCCTGTGGCTAAAGACGCTTGGTTGTGTAGTGCAATAGATCTTGTATGTCGATTTGAGTATTCGATGGTATTCTTAGGAACATTGCTAAGCTCCCTGAGCCAGCTCTTTTCATTGAGTCTTGAGTTCGACCCATCACCACCACTAGTATCATCCTAAATCTACAACACACGCTAAATATGGCCTCTGCACTAGCTTTCACCGAACGAACTTCTCTAGTTACGTCTCCAGCCACAGTCGTAGATGACTACAAAGTTTACAAGCCGCCGCAAGCGACAAGCAGCATTGGGCCCAGTCCGTCCTCCTGCCACTTCAACTGTATAATGCATTAACGGATTCTTCCTCCAGGATTACCCCATGATTCTTTCTTCACGCCCAGTTTCACCGACCTCAAGGCAGCCCAAGACTCGCTGTCAGCTAGGACGCAAGCACTCGTGAATGCACCCTTGCGTACGCAAGCCATGCGAGACGCTGAGCTGAAAGCGAAACTGGCAAAGTACCCTATTGTGCGTCCCTCAAGCATAACGCATTGATACGCACTGAATTGGCCTCGCAAGACTACCATTCGTATAAGATTCGCCGATCGTACACAGCTCGAGAAGACTTTCCCCTCCACCGACAAGATCAGATCAATCTACGCGTTTGTGCGCAACTTGTTGCGTGAAGACGTTAAGCCCACTAAATTTGTCCTCTGTGAGTTCGTCGTATCATAGACGATCACGATAGCTTAGAAAGACCGGCATAGACCAAACACCTCCGAAGCGTGAGATCAAAGTGTCGGACTCCAAGGTGCGAGACCTCAATCTGTATCAGCTACAGCTAGCACCGGCATCTGTGCTACATCTGAAGTTCGACGATGATGCTCTGAACCGTAGGTCCGATGTTCATCTTGCCAGATTACTTGTTCACCATAATACAGATGTCGACATCCCCGCGCCGTTGGATCCGGTCGTGCTGGCCAAGGCCGAAGACTTACCTCTTCCACCAAGCCAAGAGGAGCCTGAGGCGTCGTCCTCCACAGCCGATGGACCAAAGGCACCATCGAGAAAGGACAGAGCCGTCAATCCGCGGTGGCTGAAGATGGGCTCTAGTGGGTATTGTGTCGGTCGCTTCTCACGAAGATTACTCATCAATGTGTACAGACCGGTGATTCTAGTGGCAGCTAGGGCAGCCATTCGATGCCAGCGAGCATTTATATATAAGATAAGAGGTTGAATGAACACGAGGAGCTTAGGAACTTGGAATGTAAGATGAGATCCGGTCCACCGATGCTCAGACTCGACGAATCTCGGGGTCGATATATTTCATTCGTCCCCGGCCTGATATAGCGGTCAATGCGTAAGCACGTCGTTTCGTGACTTAGGCCGGCGACTTACCCTTGAACCTCACGCCGTTCTGTGTCGGGACCTCCGTCTCTGCGATCCCTTTCAGCCTCTCCAACTCCCTTCGCTTGGCAGTTTCCAGTTTCTCCTTCTCCTCCCGCTCCAGTCTTATGTCGTACTCAGCCTCCGTTTCTTCCTGTGGCACAACTTCCCGTTCTTTTAGGTCTGTGCGCTTTCGCGAACCAGAACGCTCCGTGTGCTTTCTTCGTCTGTGCTTGCGTTGATGGCCCCCTTGCTGGCCACTGTCCTCCTCGGCGCTTCGACTTGAGGGACGCTTCCTGTGACGACGTTTACGCTTGCGAGACTCGCTCTCAGACTCGCTCTCGCCCTCCATGTCTGACTCGGCGCGTGATTTTTCTGACAGAGGGACATGAGTTCGGGAATCGGGGCGAGCAATGGTGCACTCACCGCGAGAAAGAGCGTCTGTAACTTGCCTACGTAACACCAGTTCGCCACAATTCACGACTGTGACTGACACCTTCGGTCGATCCTTCTCATCCACCGGCAGCTCCGCTATTTTCCTCGCAATGTCGTACCCGCGGACTATTTGGCCAAATACGACGTGCTTGTCTGGAACATTGTGAGTTGTATGCTCCGATAGTAGTAAGATCTTACCGTTCAGGTGCGGACATGCTCGCATAGTCACAAAGAACTGTGATCCATTTGTGTTCGGGCCCTTGTTAGCCATGCACAGCAGCCTGCGCAGTTGTGTATTACTTTAGTCGTGACATATAAATTGTCAGACTTACCCTTCAGAGTCCATGGAATGAGTGAAATTTTCGTCAGGAAATACACCGCCGTAGATGGATTCGCCACCGGTTCCGTTTCTCTTCGTAAAATCTACGAGAGGTGTCATGGCAGCAAGACACGTCAGAGTCGGTCGGACACACCTCCACCCTGTATCATAAAGTCCTTTATGGACCTGTGGAAGATGCTGTTCTTGTAATACAATGGCCTGCCTGACAGCGGCGATATTCCCTTCTCGCCGGTGCATAGTGCACGAAAGCTGGAAAGCTTTCGATAAATGAGCGAGTCCGGCTGTATATATGCACATACTTTTCGGCTGTCTTCGGGGCTGTGTCGTTGAACAGCTCAAAGATGATTCTGAAGTATACAAACTCAGGCCTCAGGATTTGTTGCGAGATGTGAGAGCGCGACGGAGACTTGCCTGCCGGCTGGGCCGTCGTCAATCGAGATGTCGAAGAAGGCGCGGGGTTTGACCATGGTTCGAGCAGAGCGACTCTTTGGTACCTTGGTGCTTGATCTCGTCTTCGTGCCTCGTAGCTCTCGTCAAGCGTTCTTCAGCTGGCTAGCCGAACGCGGTCAAGCTTACCCCCGCAAGGTAAAGCGGCTAAGTTAGCGTGAGATGGCGCGACTCCGCATTGGGAATCGTCGGTGCGTTGCCCTTCGCTTTCGTCTACCGCGCCCCACGCGTCCATACCCCTCATTTTCACGTTCATGCCGGGACACCCGCTCTAAAAACCCCTCAGCCCTCGCCATTCTCAACCATCAGGCAGGGATCGCGGTGTCAGCAAGGACATGCGCGAATACGATATCGTCGTTCTTGGCTGTGCGTCTCACGGTACATCACCATCGTGACCACTGCTCACTCCCGTTCGTACACGCAGCTGGCGGTGTTGGAAAGTCTGCTCTAACTGTGCGGTTTGTAAATGACTCTTTCCTTGAACATTACAACCCCACGATTGAAGGTGCTGTCCAGAATTTGAACCCAGTCGACTACAGCTGACCCCCGGGCAGAGCAATATTGCCGGGAGATTGTCGTCGATGGCGAGAACATTGCTGTAAGCACTGTCTTGGCGCACTAGTCATGTCGCGTACTGATCCGAGTGTAGCTCGAGATCCTCGATACCGCAGGGGCTGAGCAATTTCAGGCCCTAAATGAAGTTTACATTACGGTGAGAGCGCCGGTGTCGTACGCGTGTTGGCCGCTCATGATGCACAGTCTGGCCATGGGTTCCTTCTCGTCTTTAGGTACGTCCCTCATAAGCTCTGAACAGCACTGTGGTGGCTTACTGAAGTTATTCTCGCTTAGCTTAACTCACGATGCGAGCCTTCATGAATTAGAGAACATCCGTCAACAAATTCTACATATCAAGAGCGGCGAACATGTATGTCCTCAGCTGTGCGGTGCGCGCACCTATTGATAGAGTCATAGGGCATACCGATTATTCTTGTCGGAACGAAGGCGGATTTGGTATGTAATACCTGTGTAAACGTTTGATTTCTTCGTTCACACTGTGCAGTATAACGAGCGAGAAGTTACCCGTCAGGCTGTCCATGAGCTTGCGTCATCTTGGAAGATACCGTTCTATGAGACCTCTGCGAAGAAGAATTGGAACATTCAAGAGGTTTTTCAAGACTTGACTAAGCGGATGAGGGCGCGTTACCCTGACGCGCCGCCGAAAAGACGTCGCAAGAAAGAATGTAACATCATGTGACCGTCTACTGCTACCCGACCGATTGTTTTGCCTCCATGGTAAGTTGCACCTAGACCACTCTGGTGCACTCGAATTGAATGTCTTTGCAAATCCAGCCTGCGGATATCCACTTTAGCAACCTAAAGTCTTGACTTCGCCCTTCATTTCACCCGCCGTTCGTTCATCGTTGCTACTGCCGCGTTGTTTTGTTCTTTATGCTATATCTATGCTACTTCATGTTGGTATTATGCGTGTAACCTCCCAGCTGTCGCCAAATCTTAAGCTCCTGAAGAGTAGAAGGACCAAGATTGCCTTGGCGCTTTCACGCATCGTGCTTACGTAAGTTAGCTATTAGTATTTGGCGCTTGCCCGCCACGACAAAAACTTCTCCTTGCTTCCAACCACCATCTACTGTTACCGAATTTCTCCCTTCCAAATTTCTCCCTTCCAAGTTAGCGCTTTTGCTCTCTCTTCTCCTCTCTTAAACATGGTTTGTTTCTTTCCTAGCCGTTTTAGTACAATTGCTCATCCATGGATTCGCAGAGCTACGGCGGCGGCTACAGCGGTGGATATGGCGGCGGTTTCCATGGTGGAGGTGGCTGGGGGGACGACAAGATGGGCGGTGTTGGCAGCGGCCTACGAGCTATTGACTGGAACCAGTACAAGCTGGAACGATTCGAGAAAAACTTCTACGTTGAGGATAAGCGCGTTTCAGCACGCAGCGACCGTGAGATCGAAGATTTCAGGAGAATCAAGGAAATGAAGGTATGTTTAGATTGTTCTACCCTTCATACTACTCCACGCCAGTTCGCTGAGTATAGACTGTAGGTGCAAGGTCGAGACGTGCCGCGGCCAGTGTCTTCCTTTGACGAGGTTGGATTCCCGGAGTATCTTATGTCTACTATCCGTGCCCAAGGCTTTGCTGCTCCGACTCCAATCCAGTGCCAGGCTTGGCCGATGGCTCTTAGTGGCCACGACGTTGTCGCTATCTCCCAAACCGGAAGTGGAAAGACGATTGCCTTCGCTCTCCCCGCTATGTTGCACATCAACGCGTATGTATTCCCTGTTGCACTAGCGTCTGCCCCTAGGCTCATTGATTGCTAGTCAACCGCTTCTCGCGCCTGGAGACGGTCCAATCGCTCTGATCCTTGCGCCGACTCGTGAGCTTGCAGTTCAAATTCAGCAGGAATGCACCAAGTTTGGCTCGAACTCTCGTATTCGTAATACTGCCATCTACGGCGGTGCTCCCAAGGGTCCTCAGATTCGTGACCTGCAGCGTGGTGTTGAGATTGTCATCGCAACCCCAGGTCGTCTCATTGATATGCTCGAGTCGGGCAAGACGAACCTCCGTCGCATCACCTACCTCGTCATGGATGAAGCTGATCGCATGCTTGACATGGGTTTCGAGCCCCAGATCCGTAAAATTGTCAGCCAAATTCGGCCTGACCGTCAGACTCTGATGTTCAGTGCTACCTGGCCCAAGGATGTACAAAAGCTGGCCAATGTGAGTGAGCTTTTGCATTTACCTGTAGAAGATAGCTTTACTAATCTACTACGCAGGATTTCTTGAAAGATTTCATCCAGGTCAACATCGGTTCCACAGAACTTACTGCCAACCATAATATCCAGCAGATTATCGAAGTCTGCAGCGACTTTGAAAAGAGGTCCAAGCTCATCAAGCACCTCGACCAGATCAGCCAAGAGAATGCAAAGGTCTTGATCTTTGTTGGTACAAAGCGAGTCGCGGACGACATCACCAAATACCTCCGTCAAGATGGCTGGCCGGCGCTCGCCATTCACGGCGACAAGGAACAGTGCGTAGTGGAATTTCTTCGACGTATCCGGTGCTAACTTGATTCTCAGGCGCGAGCGTGATTGGGTCTTGAGTGAATTCAAGGCTGGGCGTTCTCCAATCTTGATTGCTACTGATGTGGCTTCGCGTGGTCTCGGTATGTTTTCTATATCTTTTCTCTGGCGCTGCGACATCGTCACAGCGCGTCACAAGCTGGTTACTTGCCAGGTGGATGTGCCTGTAGACCAGCCGCTGACCACGGTAGGGGTAACGGCGGTGGGAAGCTACTCATTTCACAGGTCTTTGGGTCGTATCTGCAGCAAGACAGGCGAAGCTGACCGTACGCGCACTGAAACATGATTGGACTTCCCTGGACGTGTGCGAGTGGTTCCCTCTGACCCCCTGCCTGTTAGGACTATCGCTGCCTCGTGCCTGTCGTCGAGGCGCTTCCTTCGTGTTGCCGCCTGCTCTCACTGTAGCTGCAACCGTCTTGGAGGCGATAGTGGTTATGGACTCCAATGGCGTACCCAGGATTGAAATGTTCGCATGTTTCTCAACAACCGCCAGCGCGTACAACACTAGCCTGTCTCTCGCTCGGACGCGTTTCGCCTCAACCAATGCTCCTGCTTTTCAGGTTGAGGTGACCCTGGACTATGAGTTTGTGACCCCGGGTGTCGAGGCGCTTGTCACCTGGCTCTCCTTGACTCAGATTGTTGACTGCTGCTCTTTCTTCCATGCTTTCCATCTGGCGACATGCGACCTCCAATTCGTGTGTGATCGTTTCCGTTCATGTATCAATGCTGGTCTGCCCGACGTTTCCTCCAACCAGACGTTAAGGATGTTGGTTATGTCGTCGTGAGTCTCTACCCTACACGTCGCCTCGTTCCACGTTCATGTTCTTTTCAACAGAATTATGATTTCCCCAACAACTGTGAAGACTATATCCATCGCATTGGTCGTACGGGAGTAAGTTTCGCAACAAGAGGACTATGCAAATGTTAACACACGTTTCGCCCAGCGTGCTGGCATGAAGGGCACTTCGTATACATACTTCACTACTGACAATGCGAAGTCCGCTCGGGAACTCATTGGCATTCTGCGTGAGGCTAAGGCGAACGTTCCTACACAACTAGAGGAAATGGCCATGTACAGCGGAGGTGGTGGCAGGAGTAAGTTTCTCCACACTAGCACTTTCTGCAGTACGCTAAGACCTTTTTTAGGCCGTTACGGTGGGGGCGGTCGTGGTCGTGGTGGAGGTGGTGGACGTTATGGTGGACAGCAGGATAATGGCTACGGCAACAGGAACGACCGCTGGTGATCGCATAGCCTTCAAACCCATCACATATGGTCCCGTCCCCAGGCTCCGATCGTTTTTCGTTCGCCCTTTCCCTTAGAGCTCGGCATTTTCTTGTGCCTGTAATTCATGTTATACTTGCATTCTGATGACTTAGACCTTCATGTAATGTTGTTGGACTGTATATCATCCTAGTCATATTTGCGCCCAGTGCAGGACTCAGCTTTGCATACAAGATCCGGCGCGACGGTACTCCGCGTCGGACAACGGCTTACCGGCCTTGCTCCGGACCACGGGATTCTTAAATAGCTGCTCTCTAACGACCTCCAGCGGAGACCATACCTTTGACAGCTGCCAACACTATGTTCTTACTTTGTCGCATTGCCCGTACTTCAGTCGCCTTGAACGCTCGACGTGTTGGAGGCGTCAGATTGGCGAGTAGTGAGTGATGTACCGCGCTGCAGGCCTTATACATTCTGAGCCGAAGGTCGTGCAGCAATCGCCAAGTTCAGTCCGGAAGTGAGCTGGCATTCCCCCACGACCTGCCTAAGGCTAAGATTTCGTATCAGGATCCATTGAATTTGGATAGTCTACTGACTGAGGAAGAGAAGGCTATCCGGCATGTGCTTTGCTATTCGCCTTCTTCCGAAACTCACAGATGTTTAGTGACACTGCCCATGCCTTCTGTCAAGAGAGGCTACTCCCGAGAGTATTGGATGCCCAACGAACTGAAGGTATGCCTTCTATATGTTAGCCAATATCGTTTAAGGATACCACGCTTCGGCAGAGTTTAACCGCGACTTGCTTCCGGAAATGGGAAGATTTGGGCTCTTGGGTCCCACTATCGACGGTTATGGATGCGCAGGGGTAAGCAACGTGGCCTATGGGCTCATTGCGCGAGAAGTGGAACGGTACGGTTCGTAGATCTATCAAGGACTGACCTCTAAGCCATCATCGTAGTGTGGATTCGGGCTATCGCTCGACATTCTCTGTGCAGTCCTCGCTGGTCATGAATGCTATATGCGACTACGGCACAGACGCACAAAAAGATATCTACCTCCCCCGCCTGGCGAAGGGAGAGATCATCGGCTGCTTCGTACGTTAGCTTTTCTGCTGTGCTCGTTCGGCTGCGTTAACATTAGTAGGGTTTGACTGAGCCTAACCATGGTTCGGACCCCGCCGGTATGGAGACGATCGCTGAAGAAGTTGAAGGCGGATTCAAACTGCATGGCGCCAAGACATGGATCTCGAACGCACCTGTATCGTATGTCAAAGCTAGTCTGCGACTGTAAGTTTTCTTCCTGACAGATTTCCCGGCAGGGACTTGTTCATCATCTGGGCTCGGTGTAAATGGGATAACAAAGTTCGCGGCTTCCTCGTTGAGAAGGTAAGCCCCACGAGAATATTTGTTCTGACGTTGAGGCTGATGCCCCACCTTCCGCAGGGGACCAAGGGTCTTGATGCACCGGCAATTAAACACAAGCTTGCGCTTCGATGCTCGTTGACCGGGTCCATCTTTTTGGACAACGTGTTAGTCGGCCATAACGCGCTGCTGCCGCACGGCAAGGGCCTCGCTGCGCCTTTTGGATGTTTAAATAGTGCACGGTGAGCTATTGTGTCTCTAGACTCACCTCGCACTATTAATCCGACCTATCTGAGATATGGCATCTCCTGGGGTGCCATGGGCGCGCTCGAAGATTGCATCCATCGCACAAAAGCGTACGCGCTGCAGCGACACCAGTTCGGAAGACCCCTTGCGTCGTTTCAGCTTGTTCAAAAGAAGTTTGTCGACGCGATGAGCGAGGTCGCGCTTGGTTTGCAAGCGAGCATTCAGGTTGGCCGACTCAAAGACCAGGGCAAGGTCGCACCTGAGATGATCAGCCTTGTGAAGCGAAATAATTGCGGTAAAGCACTCGAGCACGCTCGTCGGGTGCTGGATATCCTTGGAGGGAACGCATGTGCGGACGAATATCACGTCGGTCGTCATGTCGCAAATCTGCAAGTCGTAAACACGTATGAAGGTACCTACGTAAGTCGTGCAAAAATATTCACTTTCCCACCTCTTCACGCTAATATAACGCCTTAGGATATTCATACACTCATCCTCGGTAAAGCTATGACCGACATTGCAGCCTTTGCCAATTAAATATACGGGATAGCGGCAACGGAGAGCATCAATTTGCAAGTACTACTCCAAGGCTAACAGCCAACTCTAGGAGACTGTGGTGTAGTGTCGTACAATATAGACATGAGTACAGCCGTCTGCCGCTCAATGTGCTAAATTCACACAACCAAGGACCGTTGTAGTCGACCATAGGCTGCTATAACCTCGATAGAGGTGTAGGCCGGCGTGCACACGAAGTTTTGTAGAAGATTCGGAGCTCTGGGTGTATTATACGAGCCGGTCTGGGCGTTGTCGGTGTTTACGTGCCCTCTCTCCGCCTTGTCTTCAACCTCTTCTCCCTCAGCATGTCATGGCAGGCTCCCGTCGCCCTGGCTATGCCGCTAATTTAGTTTGCTCATCCGACCGCGATGCTCCCTGAGCTTGGGGGCCTTAGTCTCTTCAAGCTAATGGGCGGCGGTCTTCCGGTCCTCCGAAAATATTTGAGGCTTACCGTGGATCGTATAAAATCTAGAGAAGCCGGGCTTTAAAACAAGTAAAGTTAGTAAACAAGGGCTTACTGCTCACGGCGACATGTTGTTGCGCTCAGCGACCTCCCGCAGCGTCTGAATTCGGCCCGCTGAGGGGTGCGGCGCGTAGAACAGCAGAGGGGTCTCATGTTGCTGTATCATTCCATCACCTGATTCGACTCGCAGTTGCGCAGTGAGCAGACATTATGGAGTACTGTAACACACTGACACACGAATAATATTGGTCAACTAAGACGTACAGTAGCTTATGCACCTGCTTTCCAGTACGCGATGTCACCGTCGACCACTGTGTAACGATTGCTCAGCCTGTACAGACGACGAAGCATAATAAAGTACTTACTCTCGTAGGGCTTGCCCTGCTGCCTGAGCTTGCCAGCTGCCTTAACTGCCGATTCGCTGCCGAGCTCATGGAGGTCTTCATAGGACATAATCTCACCACACACAAACTTGTTCTCGAAGTCAGTGCTGTTATTCGATAAGCATCCTGTATGCTTCCAAGAGATGTGCACATACTGAATGACACCGGCAGCCTGCGGGGCTTTTATAGCCCTGCGGATTGTCCATGCACGGACCTCATCGGGACCACAGGTGAAGTAATGGATTAGCTGTACGAAGGTCAGTACAATCCCGCATACAATATGTATCGCAACGTACGTCAAGACCAGAATAACCAGCTTTGGTGATCTTTGGCAGCGCGCCAGTTGCGCCAATGTTCTTCTCCTCCTCGACACGCTCTTCATCAGACATTTGGACGAGGCGTTCTTCAAGGGCGACGGAGAAAGGGATGATAAGATCGCCAGAGTTGTTCTCGTCAACCCATGCCTTGATCTTCGGCAACCTTCCAAAAAACAATGGAAATAGGTGGGCGAAGCACCAAGTCGGGAAGGCACGCACCATTTGTTCTTTTTTCGGATGTAATCCTTCTCGCTCAGGTTGACAAGGTATATTACAGGTTTAGCGGTAAGCAGCTGGAGACCATTGACGACATCAATCTGATGTGAAGATAGTCAGCCTTATTACAAATGACGATGATAACGAAGGGATCAGCTGGAAGGTTATTCTCAACGGCATAATGGGGCGTTACTCCCGCCTCAACGAGCTGGGTTATTCGAGCAAAGCTCTTTTTCATCATAGTGGCGCGCAACATAGAGCACTTCTGCACGTAATGAATCCAATATTCACCTAGATAGGGGATGGTCAGCAAGATTGGCCAAAGCATATACAGTACACAACAAAATTGGAAATTAGATAGAGAAGTATGATCTCGTGCGGAAACTAGGGCTTTACTTCCTCCTCGATGAGCTGGGTTAAACCGAGCGATGCACTCTCTCTTTATATGTGGAGGGGAAAAGCTCAGCTGATAACGATGGGTGCTAGTCTCACCTCTTTATTGTTCCACTCGCCCTTGCGAACATCCTTGTGGTCCTCAGTCAGGCACTTGTAGATCTTCTCAACGGTGGCCTGGTAATGCAACATGAGAACAGTGAATGCAGCGATAGGACGGTAGGAAACTGACGATTTCTTCCTTTCTCGCCTTGTCCGCTAAACTGGTACTGCCGAGAGCACGCCCGCCGCGCTTCAAGCCTTCAAGGTGCTTCTCCACCCATTCAATATCCTTAAGACGGAGTTCGGTCTGAATGATCTCCATGTCACGGAGGGGATCGACGTCGCCCTCTACGTGAATGACTTCGGCGTCGTCGAATGCGCGGACCATTTGAAAGATGCCATCGACGGAGCGTACATGCGACAAGAACGCGTTACCGAGACCGGCACCAGTGGATGCACCCTGTCGCGTCCATATCAACGCAAATAAAGAATAAAACAGTGCTGTGACTTACAGCAGTGAGGCCAGCAATATCTATGACCGTTAAGGCGGCCGGTACGCGAGAAGCAGGCTTGTAGAGATTGCACAACCACTCAAAACGCTCGTCAGGAACCGGGATGCGAGCTTCCTAGCATGCTCACGTTTGCAGGGCATCACACATAGTAGTGAATCAGACACACCTCAGGGTTGATAGTTGCGTACGGATAGTTTGCAGCCTTTCCTAAGTCTACGCGACAGAATTAGCGATTTTGCTTCGGATGCGGCACCAGAGCCCGTACCTGTCTTGGAGAGCGTGTTGAAGAACGAGGACTTGCCGACATTGGGCAACCCTATGCGGAGAGCATTTAGCTGCACACGACTGTGATATATACAACAGACAGACCTACGATTCCGATCTTCAGGTTATTTCCGGGCCTGCCCAAGAGCGTCTTCTTCTCTTGTTGAGGGGCCTTCTTGGGTGGCATGTTTCGTTTTTTCTTGGCAAGAAGAGGAAAATGCACAGAAAATGGCCTGCAAGTGAATGAAGACGAGAAGACAGATGGTGGTCTGAGACAAGTCTGGCGTAGGCCGAGCATCTTTGCTATCGATTCACCTCGAAAAGTTCACTCTACATCATCGGCGTCTAATACACGTGGCTCTATCCACTTGCGGTAAAATAAGCGTCAAAGCCTCGCCTTCCCTGCGACCGTCTTGCCTGTCTCTCGTCGCTCCCCACCTTCCCTCAGCCCCGACATCGACACCATGGCAGGGACTACGTACCGCCAGTGCCGCGTACTCCTCCTCTCCGTGGCTCTCATGGCCTTATCCGTGCTCTCCCAGACAGTCACAACCACGGACGCGTGAGTACCAGGTTTTGAAGTAGTCAGCCTGCTGGCCGAGCTCACGCCGCTGCGCGCAGCTTGGGCGAAACCATAGTCGAGGTCATCACGCTCGACCCCCAGCTCGGTCTGCCGACGACGCAGATAGTGGAGACCTTGACGGGCGCTCTCACAACTCCCATCACGACCCCTCTCGCCCTCCCCACCACGACCACTACAAATCCTCTCGCCCTCCCTACCACCACGACCACGACGACCCCGCCCGTTGCTCCTGTCGCAACCACTACCACGCCGCAGCAAGGCCCTGTTGGGGCTCCACCCGCGTCCACCGCAGCAGGTCCAACAGTATACACTTACACGACAACCAATGCCGAAGGTCTGTTTCTGCACTGATCTCTCATAGATCGCCTCTTGATATTCTATTTATATCCAGGCGCCACTATTGGCGTGGTGGACACCTTCACACCGATATTTGCTCCGTCTACACCGTATACGCCTGTTAGTACTGGTACCGTTCTGCAGTACAGCCAATGGCTCAGCATGGTCGGCGGCACCAGTGCTGCCGCAGCAGCAGCTAATGAGCTAAGCAGCGGCTCCCAGTCTCTCAGCCTAAGTGGGAGCTGGCTTTTCACCGCAACCGGATGCCTGGCAGGAATCATGACGGGCGTGTGGGTAGTTCTCGCATGAGAGCTGTCGTTACGTACTTTATCGTTTAGCTCTCGCTTCTTGTTTTGCACGTCGTGATATCGGACCTTTCAAGGACGCAGTATGTTAGCATACTTGTCACCGCACTACGAACAGTGTAGTATTGCTGGGGACTTGTCACTTTATTCTACTTTGCCCATACTTTTGTGGCGCTGAATCACAGATCGCCTCATTCCGTGATCGCGGCCTCACTGCGTAAACTTGGACTACATCGAGTTTGTGATACCCCGCGCTCGTCGAACTACATAAACAATAACCCTCTCGGGACCCCATCTTGTCGCATGGTATCAACAAAGGCCCCAGAGGTTGCTATCGCCTATGTCTTCGATTCATCTGTTGACCTCGCCAATGAATGGGGGCGTGTTCAGCCAACATTGTCTGGACAGTATATGCAACATTTCATTGCACGTTTGCGCGAAGGTCATCCTGACCTACAGACAGTACGCATTCCAGATGCGCATACCACTCAATCTGACTATGCTGCTATGCTTTAGCATCACATCGCACTGGTCTGCTATGCCTCCTCGTCCACTCGTCCGTCGCCGTTACTAGCAAAGACATATTTCACTTCTTTGCAAAATTTGTTCAAGGCAAAAGACCCTTCCACCTGTGGAGCTGGTCAGACAAGTAGGGGTGGCGGTCGCGGGATGGCGGTACTAGAAGGTCTCGTGGCTGCGATTGAGGTGCGTCTTGAATCTATCATCTCTGCGCTGCATTCTTATCTCTTTCCTCCACAGCTATTTGACGTTTTAACGGACTACCCAAAGGTGCGTAGGATATTGTATATCCTTTGGATAACCATCGACCGATATTACCGACAGAGTGCTGCCTCCAAAAACCCTGCTCTCCAGAACCTCATCAAGCACATTGTTCATGTAACAGCATGTAACCCGGACTCTGCAGAGCGGCCGACGTGGAATGTAAATCCTGCGCTAGATCAGCTTACATGGGAGGCGCTACCCTCAGAATTAAAGAAGGTATGTCTCTGTCGGCTAGACATTCGTGCGAATCCTCACAGTTCGAGCCTCCTAGAGGGAGATCAACTACAACCTCATCAACCTGAGGCCATGTCAGAAGCTGGAAGACTTTCATACTGCGGCAAGTCCGAATTTCGGCGCCGCCATGTACGGCTATTGAACGCCTTCATTAGGTTGCAGGTCCGCTGGCCCAGACACCGTGGTTTACGCTCAGGCCCCAGCACACTGCGCGGCTAATGGGGTTCCCTGCGCCTTCTCCGAAGAGTGAGTAATCTCGCCTTCGATACGATGTCTGTTCTAAGTCTGCGCTAGCCCCACAGGGTGTCAAAAGGGCCATAGAAAGCGGACCTAGTCCTGAAGTCAAACGTGTTCGGACCTCAAATCAGGCCTCCCCCAGCACGACCAACTCACCGACTCCTGGAGCTGCTATCGCGCGGCCCGGCATCACCACCACTCAACCGTCTGTCTCACCGCAGTTGAACGTTGCTGCTCAGCCGTCAAGCGGCCCACAAAAGGCGGCCTCGACTCCACAATCTGACGTAACGGCGGTTCTTCAGAATGTCGATATGGAGAAGATGCAAAAGTTGGTCCTCCGGGTCCAGGCTTTGGAAGCAGATCTGAAGCCCAAGGAAGAGATCGCGCGTAACTTGGAAGCTGCCGGGAAAGTTGAAGAGGCAAGGCTCTACCGACAGGAGCACATCCTTCCAATACGGACTAATACGGAAAAGCTGAAAGGCATCGTGAGAACAGTAATGGCAGTGAAAGCGAACGAAAAGGCCGGTAAACCTCAGACGACGTCTGCAGGGGGTGCGGATGACTCCTCAGCGTCCCAGCCGCCCCCTCCCCCGCCAAGCGGCGCAGGCGGCCTCGTTTCTAACACCGCATCTTCCGCCGCCCAGGTCAACACTCTCATGGATACGCCGAGTCTTTCAAATGCCAGGCCAATATCTCAGCCGCAGTTGTCGACACAGACATCTCCTGTGCCACTTCCAGGACCTCCACTGCCGTCGGGCACCTCTCCTCAGGTGGCGGCGCAAATGCGAAAGCTCATTGAGCAGCAGAATCGCACGCCTCGAATACCCTCCGCTGCTTCAGGTCTTTCCACCAATGCTAACATGCAGCCCACGCTACTGGGGATGGGAGCCATACGGCCTAACATCTGGCGGGGGACCTTGACGTGGAAAGGATTTGATGCTACGTCACACGTCCGTCGTGAGCTGCAAGCCACCGTACATATACAGTTCAAGACTGCGCCAGAGGGCCTGTGAGTAGTATTTTCGTCCTGCCAACGGTACTAGCTCATATTTTCACCTAGGGCGGCTTGGCCTCATGCTCTTGGGCTTACCCCAGCACCGCCTGCAGTTCCACCGCTCATGCTGCAAGAATGGGCCAAAGCACATCAGAATCAACCGTTCGCTGGTATAATTACTGTCAATGAGAGTGCCGATGCGCAAGTGAATACAGAGAACTTCAGGAGTCTAGTGCGGTTGCTTCAGGATAGGAATATTGTGAGTTCTCTGACTCAGATATATATCACGATAGTCTGACTTGGACGTAGTACGCAATGGCGGCGTGGCAAGGGCTGGACGGTACAGTAAAAAATCGACTTCTTCTATTCGTCAATCAGGGCAAGCTCCTGGCCTTCTACTTCGCGGCTGGAGTACCTGAATTACCCAAGACGAATCTTCCTCAGCAACAGCAACAGCAACAGCCGCAACCGCAACCGCAGCCAGCAGCCAATAATTTGAACCAGGCCATGCTCAAGCTCTACCACGATCTGCCTAACGAGCAGAGAGCATTGTTGAACCAACTTCCCCCCGACAAACTGAAGACCGCTCTCCAACAGCTGTTTATGACACGAATGGTCACTCTCCGGCAACAGCAACAACAACAGCAGCAGCAGAATCAGCAACTGCAACAGGCGCAGCAGCAGGCGTACATGGGCACTATGGCCGGCGTGCCCGGCGGACAGGCCTCTCAGCAGATGAGCGCACCTATGAGTATGCCCAACGCTTTCGCAGGACGGCCATCCGCTGGATTCCAGGCCGGACAGCAGATGGCCGGGGCGAGCACGATGATGAACTTTGGTCAACCGCAGATGCCTACGAACGGCGTAAATGCACCGAATTCTTTGGGCGGCTTGTCGTTCGGCGGAATGCGCCAGCGGATGTCGGGTAGTGGCGGTGCAGCAGGGGCTGCTATGCCCAATCTCTCTGCCGGCGTGCTCCAGTCGTTCATGCAGCGAAATCAGGATGGGGCGAATGCAGGGATGTGAGGACGGCTGTATTTATGCTAGTGATTGCTGAGGCACGTGCCGGTTTCCACGTGAGAATAGACGCCGGAATTGTTTGCCAATCTGCCCAAACTGAACTCGAATTCGTTCGTCCGCTGTCGCCGTCGTCCTCGCTGTGCTCGGATTATTCGTCGTCGTTCGTCCTGCAGCGTCCTGCAACGCACTCTTGACGGCATATCACTCGTCTTGGCTATTTTGCGCTAGGCTCGCGACACTGCTGCACAGTGGCGGCTCGAACGCCTTGCTATTGATCTCCGGCTTTCTTTATAAAGCCTTGAATAGCTCGCATGCCTCGCCGGGTCGTCGCCTCAGCGACACCAGGTCGCGCTTCACCTGTTGTCTCCTTCACAGACGTGCCTTCGGCGGATGCCACCTATCTAGACAGCCTTTCGACGCTCAGACGACTGTGGAAATGGGTTGCGTTCAGTCAGTTCTTCTACACCTTCGCACCGCTACTCGCCGCCCCGGATATTGCTCTGGCCGTCAGTTTCACTACATTTCATGTGTGTCCCCTCAACTAATAGTACGCTCGGTCACCTATTCAGGACATCGAGGATGACCTTGCGCGGGGAACAGCGTTGTACCTCCCTCGCATTATGCACCGATTGCTCTACACATTGACGCAGGATCGCAAGCTCTCGTGCGTGGTTGCTAATATCTACAAATCATGTTCACTCATTGTTTTGATTACAGCCTGGAAAACTGGCAATCTGGACTGCGTAAGCAATACCTTAGACGCAAACCGGATGCGAACCCCCTGGGCCCTGAGCCTCCTGCTTCGTCCAGAATGCAGTCGCGCGACCCTACGACCCCCATGGAAGACCAAGAGGATGCCAACGTGCCCGAATCGGGAGAGCACCCTCAGGAGTCTTCGCGCCAGTCTGCTACCAAACTTGAGCGCGACAGCACCCCGGAACCCAGGGACGGCGAGGAAGACGGGACGAGTCCCTCGCGAGATTTGGAGGTAGAGGGCGCGAAAGAGGACGAAGCTGGAAGCTCAAGTGTCTTTGTCAAAGATGAGTTTGAAGACGATGCGGAGAAGCAACTCCCGGACATCGACTCTCAGCTGGTGGAAAGCAGGAACTGGCTGGATTTGTCCATGCTCGAAAAGCTCGACTCTCTCTACCTGCTGACGGAGTGGCAGTTTCAGAACCCTCATCGGTTGAGACAGATTATGAAGGATGACGGCGACCATGGTGGTTGGGTGGGTGTATGTCCGGTGTCATCGATGCGTTTTGCTATAACCACATTGCCTCGCAGCGACATGAGCCTATCGGCTGGGACGCAAAAATGAACACCTACTGGCTCATTGGGCGTGAGCATTCCCAGTCGTTGTCAACCATTTCGCCATTTGACCTGCTTTGGCCTCGATTAGCTGACCGTCTTTGGCTCCAACGCGAACCACCCAAACCTCCTTCCCCCCCAAAGCGCAAACGCAAGACTGTTACAAATAAGTCTGCTAACAAAGCTTCCACCAGCAAAGCTATAGTTCAGGAAGACTCTGACTCCGGGCCCGAGCCTGAGTCGTTACCGCAAAAGCGCACACGCACCTCCAACGAACGGGCCACTCGTCAGGTCAGGGCGATCGAAGCCTCTACTACTGGCAGAGGAACTCGTGCTGCAAAGCTTCAGGCCAATAAGAAACTTGATGCCCAAGCGAAAGAGCTTGCCGAATTCCAGAGACAAGCTGCTGCCTCTGAGAAGTACAGCTCGCGTTCTACAAGAAACACCAAGAGTAACGGCGTTACGCCAGCGTCGAGTCAGCCTGTACGCGGTACCAGAGCGAGTGCTCGCCTTCGCGGTACACCTGTAGACGACGACGACGACGACGACGACGAATGGCAACAAGTTCCTGAGGAGTGGCTACAGCAAACGGCTGACGACGCACCTGTTCGGAGTAGGAGAGCAAAACGGATGACCGATTCTCGAACGAAATCGGTGAGACCACCGCGAAGACTACCTGAGGATGAGGCGGATGACGACGACGCGCCGCACACTGGTCTCAGCGACGACGGCGACGTTAGTGAGCTGACCGAGCTGACCGACGATGAGTCCGAACATGCAAAAGACATGGACGCTAAGCTGGACGAGATTGCCGAGACTTCTGCCGTCGCTGAAGCTTCAACAATAGAAGGGCTCCGGCCAATAACAGAAGAGAAATCGGGCGGGCATTCAAACGCTGCTCTTGAAGACCGTATCGTCGATAACACTAGCAATATACCACCGGACTTCGTAGAGTGGGAAGCTGTGAGTACGCGCCCGATATACCTACAAAGCATATCCTGAGATTTTCTGTCCGCAGATTTGTATTACGCTTCAAGAGTGGGAGGAGATTGGGGAGCGTTTCGCGAAGGTTACAAATTATATAGAAAAGAGGCTCCACAAGGCGCTGTCTATGATTGTCCCGGGAGTTGTCGCCGAGTTGAGGGCAAGTCCCTTCCACTACCGTTCGCAGAACGTTATTGATATCCACGACATCTGCAACAGGAGACCGAAAGGAAGCGCAAGATGGAAGAAGCTATCGTGCATCGCAAGCGGTCATCACGCATTGCCCTGAAGGAGACTGAAAAGGAAGAGGCTCGTCTTGCCGCCATGCGAAAGGCTGAAGAGGAGGAGAAGCTTGCGCGACAGCGGCGTCTCGAAACACGTGTCAAGAAAGAGGATGCAGAACGGGAAAAGAGGGAAAAAGCTCGGGAGCAGCGGCGTCTTGAACGCGAGGAGCGGGAACGCAGGGCTCAAGAGCGAAAAGAGCGGGAGAGGTGCGTGCTCGCCCTCAACGTCATGCGTGAAGCTCTGATAGTGCCGTGGAAACAGTGCGCCCCCCACAACGCCAACGGCAAGTGTCGTCTCAACTTCGAGACAGCCCACTCGCACAGCAACACCTAGCGCTAGCGAGTCTTGGACTTTAGACTGCGAAATCTGCGGCAGATGCGGAGTCAATGTGGTATGTGAGTTAGTAGTCCGCTCATAACCCATCCTGATTACCTCGCCCAGAATGACGGTTTGCCCATGGTGTCCTGCGGAATGTGTTCGAGGTGGCAGCATATCCCGTGTCATGATGCGGCTGACGATAAGGCTGGAAGACCTCGACGCAACTGGCAACATGAGAAATTTTATTGTTCGCGCTGCAGACCGGCGGCTATGCAACGGCTGGCGAATGGAACTACTCGCAGTACTTCAGTGACATCACAACCTCGGACGCAAGATCGTTCTCAGAAAGCTCCGACCCAAGCCATGCAGTACAACTCGTACTCGCACCCTACCTCAGACCCGCTTTATTCGCAACGTGCCGCCTATCCCAGTAGTGTGCCTTATAGTCAGCAGTACCCGGATCAGCGCGCGATGGCTTCCGGCTCAATGTACGGAACACAGCAACGATCACAAGCTGGGATCTCTTTTTCGCATTATCAACCGCAGCAACATGCCTTCTCTAGAGGTGCATGGTCAAACGGTTATCCTGCAGACGATAGTCTCGCTGGTGGTTCTATAAACCAGTATAGCAGCCCGTATCAACAGAATGGATCCTATGGAGCCGGGCATCAATACCAGGCATGCCTTGTTTCAATGTCACACGCTATGCACTTGCTAAAGTCGGTTGCGTAGTATCACACTCAGTCTGCGCCGGCCCATTCCTACGGCCGAACACAGCCTCAGGAGACGTCGCCGCGGGTGATGGACGCGCAGTCCATGCACACATTAGGCTGGACAGGCTCCACAGACAGCCGCCATGCGTCGCCCGCTGCACAAATAAGCCCGAGTCACTTCAGCGCTGCTGAGTCGCTGGCGTATATGCAGGGTGGAGCTGCCTCGAGGACCGCGGCCTGGTCCAACGGAACGGTTTACCCACAGCACCCTGTCGGCTCTCCAACATCGGCTGCCGCGCACAGTCACTCTATGAGCAACGGTGGCTATCATTTTCGTCCATCGTAAAGGTCGTATAGTTAGGTATTTATAATGCCGTCGTCTTATTATTGACCCCTTAATTGTGTAGATGGTTTGGTTGAAACTCTTGTAATCGAACCTGACTGGACTGTAAACGTACTATTGTCCTATACATTAATGTTTCGTGTCGAACTTTGAGAGCTATGGCAGCGTGGAGACGTTGCTGTGACTCTTGCTCAACACGTCGCTCTTGCTCAACACATCGAGTTCACAAGCGCAAGAGTAGATCAAACAAACCACAAACGTGATATCAGCTCGTTTCGACAAGGGTAACACGTAAAAGCCTAGATCATGACGGGTCGTTACTTCGTGAGTGATATATAGCGAAATAAAGGAGTAAAGTATCCACATCTCAATCAGCGTCGTATGAGACTCGTGACACTGCGGTTCTTCGAGCCGTTCACCAGCTCGTTACGTAGCCGGCCATCCTCTTCGGGCAGCGCGAGGCTGTTGCGATAAAAGGGGACGACGTCTGCGCTGCTGACGCCTTTCTTGCTATCACCAAGCGCGTTGCCTATTACTGGCATGCTCAGCCGCCGCATCCACCCTTTAGGCTTCTCGGAACGCATCCCGGTAGACTGCATACGAGGAGACACTGCTGCGTCACGAACATTGGTCTGCTCCAGAGGCTGAGCCACCATAGGTGACGGTGGCTGCGACGACAGGCGCTGAGTAAATCGTGGCGACGACGGAGATATCGTGTTGGAAGATGCATAAGGGTGAGCCTGGACAGGTGTCGTCGAAACATCAAGCGAGTCTGGTCGGCCAATGCTCAGAGGCCGCGCACGATCGCTCGTCAAGTCAACCTTTAATCGATTCTGCCTCGCGTTCATCAGCTCAAGTTGCTCTCGCTCTAGCTCTCGTGCACGTTCACGGATCTCCTTCTCCTTCATACGCAAGGCATATTCTTGTTCTCTGAGCTCCAGTTCCTCAAGCTCTTGTATCCGCTGCCTGCGTCGGGTGATTTCGTCGGCCGACGAATCCTCAGAATTGTGGCTGCGCGGTGGCGAGAAGGAGTTGCGACTGATAGCAGGAGCCACGTCTTGCTGACGCATCTCACGAGGGGTCCGGGTTGAGTCTGGAAGCGGCGATCTGAATGCAGTTTGCTCGCTTAGCGTATTGGTTGACGGGTCGTACCGGGAGGCCAGATCAGAGACCCTTTGTGGGAGACGCGGAACATCTCTCGGGGGTGGTGAAGCGGAATCAATCTACGAAATAGCTAACGTCAGATCGGTGCGAGCACCGTAGATAGCTTAATAGCTCACGCTACGAGAGTATTTATCGCGTATAGCGGCAACCACGCTGCCACCCTTGCTCTGACCGGTGTCGCTCCTCTCAAGGGCGGGCTTGACGGGTGCGATGGTAGCGGCCGAGCCGACGGTCCTCTCGCCATTATTCATGGTCCTATGATCGTCTCCATCATCAATATAACCGCCCCGCGGGTGAGGTATGGATAGCTTCCTCAGCTCAGATGGCACGACGGTCTGCTGTTTGTCCGGAATTGCTGAGGACTTGGAGGCCTGTGCACCATCAAGAGGGGCTTCATTCAATGAAGCGAGAGACTGCACTATGCTCTTCGGACTCTCGTGGACAGGAACAGGCGGGGAGCCTGGAGGCGAGCTGAAGTCAAGGAAGGTCGCTGAGTCTTTTCGACTTTCGGCTGGCAGCGATGGAGGTGCCGCAGATAGTGCATCAGAAGTAGACGACACCTGGGAAGGCAATTGTACCGAAGAGGATGATCGAGAAACATGTTGAAGATCAGTCAGTTGGTTAGCTGTCAGGCTGTCGGCGTTGAGCCGAGGGAGAGGGAGATGGGTGGGAGGCACAGGGAAGGAGCCTAAGGACGCTATCGAGTTTATGGAGTAGCTCCTATCTCGGGAGTCTTCGTATTCTGCAGGGATGACTAGGGTGCCCTGCCGAGGCGTGGCTGACTTTGGCGGAGAGAAGTACTGCGGAGACTGTTCGTAGAGTGTATCAGCTCTAGATGTACGCTGAAGAACTGGAGTGGCAAGTAGACGGTCCGAGACACTCTCCATCGTGTCATCGCTCGTTACTTTGTTGGGAGTCAGGTCAGAGTCTACCCTCTTGGACTCATCGACGTCCGGGAGGGGGGGAGGTACCGGGCCAAGCCAGTTTCCTGCATATCAACAATTCAGAAACGCTCGTGCACAACAGGCTGTGAACCAGGGCATACCCTCACATAAGACACGCCATTCTCCAACCCGCCCAACGTTCGGGGAAATACGACGCACGCCTTCGCAGACCCGAAGCCATTCCGAATCTGCTACACGAGACAAGCAGGCCGCAAGGCCGAACAGAGTGACTTCGTGACGCTGCGTCACCATAAGTGAGTGGTTACTGAAGGGAACGATGTCATCAGGCTGCTTTGGAAGCGTAAGACAAATCGAATCGCACTATTTCTCCTGGTTGGTCTCGACTCCAAGAGTGGTAAGCGAATTGATGTAGCGAGCATGTTCTGCAGCAGCGTCGGCGGGGTTCTTCTTCACTTTCTTCTCATAGTTCTGTCCAGCCTGCTTTATCTTGTCGTTGGCGTTGGCTACTTTCTCATCGTGGGTGCGTTCCTCTTTCTGCGAACATCTCCAGTCTCGGTGTTAAACAGTTCTACAAAGCAGTACTCGGACTCACAGCAAGCCTTTTGAACCATCTCTTGACCTCCGTGCTAATTCCTTCGCACTCGTTATCGACGAACTTTGCGAACTTCGAATCCACTTCGCACAGGGTATCGAACACGGTCGCGCTCGCGTTCAACGCGTTAGCTTTGGGTGGGGGACTCAGTATGCCCTTCCGAAGATGACAAAAATGCATACCTGGGACCTCCGAGGTGGCCTTGGCTGACGCAGCATCTCGAAGAGCCCTAGCAAGCTTCTTCTGAATGCCAATGATAGCAGTCGCCGCCTCACTGTAGTCGTTTAAATAATTAACGACAGCTTCAAAAGTCTTGCAGGACTTGTGGATTTCGTTACGCGCAACTAGAGTTGGCGTAGACATGCAGAAGGGGATATCTACATGCAAGGGCTGTGCAGAGAATGGCAGAGAGCTGTCGCTACGGTTCACGTCCTGGACCCTACATGGCCAAACACTCCCAAACTTGGTACTAAAACTCGAGTTGCTAACATACACCAGACAAACGGAGGCGTACACATGGACATATCTTAGGGGAACAAGGCCCTTTGACCCGACGCAACTGCGCGAATGTCTTCGGCTAAGAGATCAGGAACCTCGTACCCTGGAAAATGGCCGCCCTGCTGATGGCTTCGGGTGAAGACCAACTTGGGGTGCTGTGCGCGAATCCATGAGGCGGGAAAGTTATTCACATCGAATGGGAAGCGAGAGTTGCCAAACGGCTTGCTTATCGCCTTGCGCTCCCCGAAAGATTTGGTGTTTTCGGCATATGGTAATGCCGCAGTCATGAAGCTCTGGGTGAGGAAGTAGAGCGACACCGTGGTCAGGATGAAGTCCGCAGCCTCCGGAAAGATGTCTGGGTCGACAAGATCGTGGTACTTGTCCCCAATCCAAGCGAGAATGCCCACGGGCGAGTCATTGACTGCATACCCGATCGTAAGGGGGCGTGTCATCTGCTGGATAAAGTACCCCGACCCGTTCGTCATAAAATGGCTTGCGCGCCCCAAATCGAAGAGTTCGTCCTCAGAGTAAATCTTGCTGTAAACCCACTTCCTCCAGGAAGTTGGCAGCAAGAAGAGCGGAGCTGTGAGCAGGGCCCCGAAAGTCGGGCGGGCCGGACAGCTGGTGAACTCGAGGGCCTTGCAGGCAGGATACTTGTCGGAGCCCAGATTCAAGCAGACCAGGGCACCCCAGTCCCCGGCTTCAGCCATATACGAGGAATAGCCCAGAACACCGGTCATCAGGTGATCGAAGATGCGAGCATTGTCAGCCATCGTCCACTCCTTCCTCGGAGGAGCGGACGAAAAGCAGAATCCCGGAAGAGATGGAGCAACGACGTGGAATGCGGGCTGATCCGCAGGAGGATCAGTAAGGAGAGGGATGATCCTGTGGAACTCCCAGAATGAGCCTAGGAAGGTGTCAGTAACTCTTCGGGGAATAAAAGCGCGCAGGAGACGTACCTGGCCAGCCATGCAGCATGATGAGGGGGATTGCGTCCGCTCTGGTAGATTTTTGGTGCATGAAATGTACAGTCACACCCTCGATGGGGACTGTGAAGTGCGCGAAAGTGTTCATCTTCTCCTCAACCACCTTCCAGTCAAAGTCGAACAGCCACTTGTCCCTTAACGACTTGAGCCACGGAAGGTCCACCCCATAGTCCCAGCTCATGCCATCAACAGCAGGGCGATCTGGAAGACGCGTGTCGGCGATGAGACGCTTCATGCGCTCAACTTCCTCGACGAGTATATTGATACGGAAAGGACGTGGAATAGCGGGGTCGTTCTCCATGGTAGCAATGGAGGCGAGAAGATGTTTTCCAACAGGGACGATGTACGTGGGCTTACAGGATGGCGGGGTGCAATAGATGGACAAAGCGAGCTCAACACCGACCGATCCGCTTTATGACGACCTATGATGACTTCGATGAGCCTTCGGAGCCGCAGGCTCCTGGGAACGCGTTCTCAAGCGGCACGCTAAGCGACGGGTGTTGGTCTTGCCGTGCGAGAATATTGACACATAAAGTTTTAGAACACACGCACGATGTAACATACGGCCGCCTTGACGAAGGGCAGTTGACCTGGCTTGAGCTCGAGGGCCAGGATGCAGCTTGCCAGGGACGTTCGCACGGTAACAACAGTTTGTTTACAACGCTGAAACCCCGCGCCACAGAGCGCGGCCGACAGGCGCCCAAGTGGTAATTGACGGTGAGATCAAATAAGTCAGACCGAACCAGGTCCGAGTCCCTGCCAGAAACTCCGTTGGTGACTACTCTCGTCTCGTCCTCCATCGACATGGACGTCGACGGGCAGCCCTCAAATACATCCCAGCTGCACCCGCCATCACCAAAGCTCGCACTGCAGCCCGCAAACGCCATCGCAGGACCGTCATCGCATCCCGAACAACCGTCTCCGCCAGTCTTCCTGCCTCCTCCACCAGGTCTCTGCTTTTCGCCTCTATCAGCCACTGCGATGCGCTGACGACGTGGCATGTGCCGCATATCGCTTTTTCTTACGTGTTGACAGCGCAGCCGCCATTCCACCCGTACTTTGATTCGACACAAGACCTACTGTCGCGCTTCCAGCTCCTCTCTGCTTACGACAGGTATGTCCGCCCGTATGCCGCTCCGGTCGGCCCAGCAGGGGTAGCCCAGCCACAAGCACCACCAAGTGCGAGCGACAAGGGCAAAGGGAAGGAGCGTGAGGTACTGCCGAGGGACATTGCCTCGCCAACAGCGGCCCAGACACCTGGAGCGGGGAACGATGGTGAAGATGAGGACGGACAGGGCAAAGGGGAGAAGAAATGGAAGAATAACTACAAACATCTTATCAAAAGTATTCCGGGTGCGTATTCCGCTACGTTTGCGGCCACGCTGTGGGAGACATGTTCCAACCACCTATACAGGGAAGCATTCGACAAAGAAGGACGATTATTTAATGACCATGATGCAAGTACCGCCTAAACAACGAATACAAATCCAGCCTTTCGATCTCAGAACACAGAGAGACGCATTTTCCGTAAGCTTAGACGGTCTCAAAGGCGTATGTTTGAACTGGTTTGCTGCTGGTTCGTGCATTGCGTTAATTCATTTTGTTTGATCTCACAGTGGAACATAAACGGGCTGGTGGGTGAATCACCTCAGGCGAAGGAAGACAGGAAGCGAAGAGTGCGTGCCACAAAGCTCTTTCACGTAAGATTGCTGCTGAACACGTTCTTTGTGTGCGCTTCATATACAGAAAGAGCTCAGGAAACTAGCAAAAGCGCAAGGCCAAGCAGGCGTTCAGCTAGGTCTTGGCACGTCCTCAATCTTCCCCACGGCGATCGCAGCCCCCGCGGCCGTTCCATCAGCAAACACGCCAGGGAGAACTGCCACGCCACGGCCGGGGCTGGTGTCTTCACAGCTGCATCCTTCGCAGCCTGCACAACGGGGACACACGCCGGCAGGTGTAGGCACGCCACGACCTACCACATCAGCAGCCTCGACGAATCCTATGCCGCCACAGATGGTAGCGTCCGCGCAACATACACCGATACCGACGCCGGCGCCGACGCCCGGTACGGCCGCAGGTGCTCCTGTAGATGCTTTGAGGGGGATCAAGCGGGAGCGCGAAGGCTCCATAGGTCAAGTCAATGGGACCGGGCAAGGGCAGGCGCCGACACCCGGGGTCACAACAGGAACGAATGGATGGACGAAGCCGCCTGGCGTCATGAACGCGAAAGCGGGCAGCGCTGGTGTCCGACCAAGGCCGATCAAGAAGCAACGTGTGGTATGTGCGACTGGACACACCCGCCGAGGCCCTGCTGGTGAACTGACTGGGAATTTGGCAGGATGTGCAAGGCCAAGCGCGAGAAATCCCCATGCAGCAGCCTACGCCGCACGCATGATTGCACCACTTCGCCGCTCTGCTGGCCGGTGGTACCCTTGATCGCACAAGTCTAGACGACCTACAGTCAGAGATGCTCCGTAAACTGCGCTCATTGTGAACACCTATCCTTACAAATCTACCCGCCTAGTGCGCAAGGCGCCATCGCATCAGACATACCAGCTGGCCGCGTGCCCTCCGTCTGAAAAATCAATATCCGTAATCCCGCCGGGCTTTACGATGGCACGACCTATGCACACGTACCTTACGCTCGGAGATGTGTAAGACGCTTGTGCACGCATACTCTGCATAGAGTGAATGTAGTAGACGTTCAAGTTTTGAAGCCATTTGTCGCTCTAAGTGGAGGTGGAGTGCGACTCTGGCTTTTGCCGTGGGCTGTGTGTTTGAGCTTGCCTCACGATAAGGTGCCGTCTCAGGGCCTCTCAGCGTCTGGGCGCATGGGAAGACGGTCGGTGCCTGTGTACGCAAGTAAGTCCGCGAGGTTAAGCGAGGTCCCCTGTAGGTAGACAGCGTTGCTGAGATGATTTTCGCCCGGAGGGTTGAGTGATTCGATCGTCGATTGAGTTAAGCGGGGGCTCGAGCCGTTCGCGTTCGTCGCTGTGGAGGACAGCGCCGGACGGCTGACCCGCGAGGGTACCGGTGACATAAGCGATGTCTTATCTATACACCCGCCCCGCTGCCCATAAGTATACACACGACCCAAGCTCGCCACAAGCTCACCCTCCTCTCTCTGCACCACCACACACATCTCTCCCAACCCGAGACTGCAAAGCTGTGAGACGCGACATTGACTTGTCGCCGGCGACGTGCTCCTGCATTCATGACTCCTGGTGTCTCAGAATCCGCGCCCTTGCTGGGCCAGCCACAGCCAGCGCGAAAGAAGCCATTCTATCGTCCCAGACCGTTATGGTGAGTCTCATGCGTCGCTTGAACGCATCCACCGGAGGAGGAGTCGAAACTCGAAGCGCTGTGTGTCGCCGTACCACCCGCATGGGCTCGCCAGCTGAAGAGATCGACCGAATTCCGCTAGACAGTTTGCATATCGTAGGCTGACCGTATGCGCCCTAGGCTCGTGCCCTTCGCCATCTTCGCGTCCATCGTGGTAAGTCTACTCAAGTAGTAAGTCACGCGAACGCGTAACTAACAATCCTACAGCGCGGCATGACTCTTGCACCCCGAGTGCAGGTATTCACTCAGCTATCATGCAACGCCGTCTATGGGCATGACGTATATGACCATACGAATCACTCCTCAGCTGCAACTCCAGTTTCCTTCAATGCGACCGTTGACCGGGATGCACCTACCTTCAACATACACAGCCCGCTCATAGACGAACAGGGAACACAAGCCATATCCCTTCACTTTCCTCACTCATCATTGTCGGACGATGATGATGAGCCTGACCCGCGGACCGTTCCATCTAAGCGTTGCTTGTCCGACCCGAAGGTACAGGCAGGCGCTGCGCGAATACAGACTATCATGACCACTACGATGGGGCTCCTTTCTGCCATCACGACTGGCTGGTGGGGTCATTTCGGCGAGCAATACGGCCGTACTCGCGTGCTTGCAGCTGCGACCCTTGGCTTGTTCCTCACGTACGTTATCATGCAGTTGACTAGGAACTGAAGTGCTGAAATGATCCTCTCGTAAGTGATTTGACGTTCATCCTAGTGTCGACACCACACAGCCCCTTCGCCGCTCACGGCCACAAACTGCTCATTATCTCGCCTATCGTAGAAGGTGCCCTCGGCGGCTGGTCGACGCTGCAGGGCGCCACCATGGCATATGTGTCCGACTGTACCTCAGACGGCTCGCGCGCACAAATTTTCAGTCGTTTCTCGGGTGTATTCTATTTTGGGTTCTCCATCGGACCCATGATAGGCGCATATCTCATCCGGCACCCGATCTTTTCTTTCCCTGGCTCATCTCCCTCTTCCGTGCCCGTGTTGCACAACGGCCAACCAACGGTAACATCGGTATTCTACGTCGCCGCTATGTGTTCCTTCATTAACCTGTTACTGGTCGTCTTCCTCTTCCCCGAGTCCATCTCCAAGAAGAAGACGCAGTCCGGGAAACCGGTTGTCCCTGCCCCTGCCCCTGGACCTGAGCAGGGGGTCGCCGAAGGTTCCGATCTGGAGGTGGCGATTGCTGTCAAGCAGGGTTGGTCTACGCAGCGCTTATTGGATCCTCTGGCGCTGCTCGCGCCCAAGAAGATCCCGAGGCCCGAAGGTGGACACCGAACCGACTGGAGTCTGACCGTTCTCGGCCTATCCTTATTCATGTTCCTACTTGCCAGTGTAAGTTGTTGTATCATATGCGTGCGAGAGCATCATTTGACCAGGTTGTTCAGGGTATCTTCCAAATCAAATACCTTTACGCCGAACACGTATATGAGTGGGGCGCTGAACAGGTCCGTGCACTGTGTGTATGTCTGGCTCTACGCTAACTCCGCGCACACTGTAGCTGAGCTACTACATCACTCTCATGGGTGCAGTCCGCTGTATTTATTTGCTCCTCATCATGCCTCGTGAGTGGCTGCTCCGCACGATCCAGGAAAAAACTTGACCGAAGACGAACTCGCAGATCTGATCCAGTGGTTCAAGCCGAAGCCCAAACCGAGGAGCAAACTCGGACCGTCTACCTCCACCTCAGCCCACGCCACCTCAACAAGCAAGCCTTCGACAGTCCCACCCGCGGGCAAGAAGCCCAAGCCCACGCTTGGCCAGATTGCCAAAGAGATGGATTTTGACCTGCTCCTCCTCCGGTCGTCCTTCTTCGTCGAGTTTCTCTCTCATACGCTTGTATCTCTTATCCCTCCGACAGCGGGCGCCGGTCCTTTCATTGCCTTCACATCACTGAGCTGCTTCGGCACCGGTGTCCACCCGGCCGTTAACAGCCTTGCGCTGTGCATCCTTCGAACGCAGGCTGAAGCGTCCTCTGCCGCTGGTGGCCCACCGCAAGACGATAGCAACGCGGGCGCTCTCTTCGGCGCTCTTGCCGCCATTCAGGCCACTGGACAGATGATCTTGGGCCCGCTGATCTTCGGTGTGGTCTACAGCGCAACAGTCGCCGTGTTCCCCAAGGCGATCTTCGCGACCGCAGCCGCCATCACGGTCGTAGCGCTCGCGTTGTTATGTCTCCTCCGCCCCGACGTTGCACTGCGCGCGAGACAACGACAACGGATGAATCGCCACGACGAAACCGAGCGCGGCAGGTCGAGGGTACGGAAGGACCTTGGACTGAGCACTTCTTCACCAATCCTTGGTCGGAATGTGTCGCCCGCCTCATCCTCCGGCAATGCAAATTAGAAGTAGTTGGCTACCATAGAAGCCCTCGTAGGTTCCTCGCGTGCTTTCATGCTAAGCTATATTTCATCCATCTTATTGATGCCACTGTTGTAAAATATTCCGTCGACAGTCTACCGACGAATTCTATATGTTCATTCTCATCCCCAATATTGCTAGTCTATCAATGTACAGTTAAATAGGTTGCTCTACGGATACATCGATAATACACAATCCCAGGCGGACTGCTCATAATTAACCCAAGAAATAAAACTCTGAGAAATGTTCTGAGAGGACACACTGGGGTGGGTTCTGCGGTATAGTGGGCGTCGCAGAGTGTTTTGTGCAGCTATGGGACGGCAAAGCAAGCCTGTTGACTAGGACGTCAGGCAACATTACAAAGTCTAGCCCTGAGGGAAGCTTCGCTGGTAATCTGGCGGGTACTCTGGTGGTGTAGCAAAGTTCAGCTGTGGAGATGAAGTTGTCGAAACGCTGCCGTACTCCCTCAACAACAAATAAGGCGGGGTAGGCGGAATACTGATGTTCGACCTCATCGTCTCCCACGCCCGTGGTGGGTGGCTACCGAGAGACGACACAGCATGGGCTAGTGGACCGACAGAGCCTTCGACGAATGTCGAGTGTCGTCTGCCACTGTGCGAGATCGAGGGCGGGATCCGCATTTCCTCGCCATTGCCGGCGAAGTCGCCCTGGGTCTGGGGGCCCAGTAGGCTTGGCGTGCCAGAGAACGAGCGGCGGGACATCGATATCGGGACCTGCACGTGGAGGAAGTGTTCAGGCGAAGAAGGCATTGGCGACGGCGTCGTGCTGTGGTCGGCATATGTGCCGGACGAAGACGAGATGGTTGCAAACTCGGCAGCAGTCATGGGGTATGGAGGCGACGACAGCGGGGGGCTGCCAGGTCCCCGTGCCAAAGAATGGTAAGAACCAGCCAGCGCATTGGAAGGTGCGGGCCCGACGGCAAGTTCCATCGATGAGTCGTGATAGTGCAATGGAGAAGCTCGGGAGAATCGTCGTGCTGTGGATTGTTGCGGTCGCGAAGGGCCCGCGATCTCGCTCATCATGCCTCCTGGGGTCCTTGCTACTAGCGATGGAGACAAGGCTAATCCTGACGCTTGCCGCCCTGCAGGATGGCTAGAGTCATATGTGATAGGGTACAGCGGGATGCTCGGCCCTGCTCTCGCCGACGCGATCGTGCGCAGGACATGCGCGAGCTGGATGGCGGCTCCAATCAGGTCATGTCTGAGCACCTTCGACGCCTGCTTCCTCTCTGTCCAGTCCGAGCTCGGTCGCCAAACGCGGACAGGAATACCACCAGGACCTGGCTCTCCGCTCGCGTGCTCCATGTAGAACGACGGAGGCCGCGAGAGAATAAAGGACGCTTGTCCTAGGCCAGGCGTACTATTAGTGAATTTCGTGTCAATGACACTATCAAAGGGAATCTCCATCTTGAAGCCACACCCAGAGGCATGAATGAACCAGGCTAGGGTCTTCCGATTGTGGCAGATGTAGGCGACCAAGTCATACTTGGTGACAGCTGAAGCCAGACGGCGCCATGAGCCAACTGTGAGCTCCTGACACGGTACGATTGTGATAGCTACACAGACAGACGTTGACAAGAGTGAGAGCACAAACGAAAGGACAGCTCACGTTCGTCGTCTTCGTGGACCAGCAACTGCAAGTCTGTATCCCAGCCTGCAGCCAGCTCTGGCGGCACGTCGGGAGGCAGCTCCATCGATTCCTGATCCAACTTCCCGTCCAGAAGCTTTGCCTTCGCTCGTCTACGATACACTACTATCAGCAAAATCTCCCTAAACAGGGGGTAAATATCTCGCCTACCTGTTTTGGAACCAAATCTGAGTCTGTCGCTCAGTCATGCCGAGCATGTCGCTGATCTCTTTCCTTCGAGCGGCCGTAGGACTTCGATCGGCGGCGAAAAAACGTTCGAGATGCGCCAGCTGCTCCGGCGTGACTCTCGACCGCTTCCGTTTGCCCTTGGGGTCGTTTGCTGCATCGTGACTCCGCGACCCCGAGCGTGAGCGGAGCGGCCCAGAGGACGGCTCTTGCGCCGCCCCCATGACTGCGGAATCCGAGAGATTCGCGGGGCTCGCTGGAGATGACAGGGACAGCTGTGGTGACGGGCAGTCGGGATCAGCAGTGGATTCGCTCTCATAGGAGAGGGTAGATAAAGATGAAGATGGTTGACCGCTTTGGGCGGGCACGTGCTCGGTGGATTCGCTCAGCATGGTCCGGCTTCCACCTGCTGAAAGCGTGGTGCATTAGTGATGAGAGTAACCTAGCTTCAGGTTCACGTACTTTAACTCCTCTGGACAGCGGGTCCAAATGTGGCACTCGGGCTCACCGGGGCAAGCTACTTTATACACTGTGGGTATGAACGCCGCACGTCGCTATGGTGTCCCGAACAAGGTAGAGCTCCCGAAGCTCACACACGACGCACAAGGTAGAAGTCAAAGTTTGGTGATGTACCGGTTTTTTCGTGCTACCTTCCCATAGCGTGGTGTTAGACAGGTTCCGCGGCAGATACTGCAGTACGTACCCGCAAGGTCGTCGAGCTGTGGGTTCGGGATGATGACGTTAGTGTAAATTTCAAACGGAGAGAACAGTGATAGGAAGACCTCGGAGAGGTGCGCGACTACCGCGTTTTATAACAAGCGAACAATCCGAACTTGGGCGGATGACGGAGGGCCAGCCTACAAATACAATGGAGAAAGCTGTTGCGGAAAACGTTGTGATGCTGCGAAAGGCTGTTAGTTTGGCGAAGCATCGACGGAGACCCGATCCATAGCTGAGATGGACCTGAACGGGCCGTTTCAGGTTGTTCACGGACTAAACTCTACTCAGGTAGGAACTACTGGCGCAAATCAGCGAGGCGAACAGCACCGCTGGGGAATCAGCACGGGTCCTGATGAAAGCAGCCTGCAGCTTTGCTCACCTGCCCTGTGACCTAGCCCTTATCCGGTGGTTACCTTCGCAGCCGCAGGTACGTAATCCTGTGCAGTAGCGGCTGCCCGGAGCTGACCCGTCAGAGGCCCTGTTCTCGCCTGCTGGCATCGCAAGCGTTTCGCATCTTCCGCGCCTGCAAAAAAGGGAACTATTGCAAGTTAAAATGCCGAGCCTGCATGACCGCGGTAGCGTTGCATGTGCAGCGCGGCCCGCACATGTACTAGGGCGAGGGTTCCAAAGTACAAAAGGGGGCGCGCAGGTCGTCATGTATGTCATATCTAGGTACCAGGTGTTATGCCTCCGCACGGTGGGTCCTGCATGAGATTCCAGCAGGAAAGAGCGGAAGTGAGAGCGGTGGCGGGTGCTTAGGACCTCTGTTGCTATGAAGATGGAGAGGAGAATCTCTGCATTTCCATCAGCATGGGTGACCGAGTCCGGTAGCGACCGGCGGCGGCGGAGGGAGAGCAGACTTTGTCTTTGTTGGAGGGACGGTCGGGCGAAGGAGTGCAATGTGTGCGCTGAGGCTGAAACGGTTCTGGGAGCATTTTTCGATGGAGGATTTGTTCGCCGCCGTCGGGAATACTCTTCAAGCGTTCATCGACGATGACCAAAACAGGATGTGGGCGCGCAGACGCCCAGGAGGATTAGCGTTTACATCACGTGCCGAGATTCGCGATGCAAGATCCCAGGAACAGACGCCCGGTTCGACGCCACCGGAAAAGGCAGGGGAAGGGAGATCCAACACTTGGACGTCGACGACCGTCGGCCCCCAGGCAACGCGGAAGCCTGCTCGCCTTTCTGACGGCAACCGCCCTCTCCTCCGTCCGCGCTGCCTCTTCCAGATCCCACACACCGCGCCCGACGACAGCCGACGGTCTCACAACAGCCTCCCGCACTGTGCCCGCTCACTCCCATACGGTTGTCAGACCGAGTGCGTCAGAATCCGAGCACACCAGCCGCCCGCCAGCCAAACATTCGCCGTACCCGAGCTTCCACAGACGCTGTCAGCTCTCCTTCCGTACCCACCAGAAGCCGCACCCACCCCCGAACCCGTCACGCCATCACCAGAAAGGGTAGCAACATCGTATTCGTTACATTCGTACGGCAACCATGAACGAACAACAGGACCCTGTACACATCCCACCGCCGCGATCTCCACGCCCCGACCAGCCCTTCTGACAGCACGGCTCTCACAGGAAGGGTTCCAGTGCCTGCGGGAGGATCGAGGGAATGGCAGCGCCGCTCGGGGGCTCGATGGATTGGAAATACTGTCGAGAAATGAGGTGCGTGCCGTCGGAGCGAGCAGGCTATCGCCACTTACCGTGCCCCACCACGGGCCAGCAGCCCACCAGAGAGCGCCTATCCAAACACCAGACTGCTGCATCTCGCAGAGGGCACCCTGGATGGCGGTGATGCAGGTGGCTGGCATCGCGAAACTGTCAGCACAGGCATCACAGCGTTGCAGGAGATAAAGCGACGCACGATTCGAGCCTGCACCGATCTCGCCTAGGAAACCCTTGAGGTTGTTCTGTTGCAGCCACTGCGTGGCATCCTGGAGACGTTCGGCGCCGATGGTCGAGGAGACACAGGTGGGACTTGTCCCAGATCCATCGCTATCGAGGTACTGGTGCATCTCTTTCCCGCAGACATTCCCGAGCAATGAGTAAGCGGACATAGACAGTGTGAGCGCGCTCACCGATCGCGATGTTGTTGTTGGGATCCTGGATTGCTCCCCATACGGCGCTGTTACCAGAGGTGGTCGTCCACGCTGCAGGGCAATTAATCAACGTGTGGCTTCACCGATGTCACAAGGACTGATCTTACTCCAAGCGCCGGTGTAGCTCGTACCCTCGACTAAGATGAGCTGCGAGGTGGCACCCGCGGCACGGATTCCGTTCACAGCAGCTTGTTCCTGGTAAAATAAAAATAAAAATAATGAGCACCCCAAACAAAACGTCCTCGCATGTGCTCGAACCCACCAGGTCGAAGACCTGCTGTGCAGTAATAGTGTACGGCTCGTTCTGGATATCTGCCGAGCTGTTAGCTCAACGTGGTGAGCAGCGCACGGACCCGAATTATTCACCGAAGATGACGTTTGGGTTGGATTTCTAAGACGCCGTCAGAGCAGCCCTGCAGCATTCACGCATGGAAACAGACGTACGAAGACGGTGGCGAGGTTAGCCCACCCTGTGCGAACACATCAGTGTTATGATGGATGGCTCGAAGCGAGGCTAGTGCGAACAGCGAGGAGAGCATACATACAAGTCTGGAAGCTGTGTTGTTACCATCAGGACGGGCTGATGCAGCGGACGAAACTGACGAGATGCTCACGCGTTTGTGTCGTTAATCGTCTGGCCGTTGTAAATCATGTAGTTATGCGCTGGAGCCATCGATGTCAGATAGCTCTTTCTCGCGCATGCCGCGGCAGTAAGCCGTCGAACTCACGGTCTATAGCCGCGTAGGCTCCCTTGCCTGTGATGTAGCTCACAATCTGCCGTAAGGCGACATCAGTTGCAAACCCCTTGCGCCGCAGCATTACGTCTCACTCACCGTCTCGAGACCGCTCAGGTAGGTCTGATTGAAGGGGCCGGTAAGCCCTGTCGCGGGAGGGCTCATGCGTTCCATGAGGAACGGGATGCGGAAAGTGTTGAAGCCATTGCCCACGAAGAACTGACACACTGCGGTCAGCGGCCTGCCCGCGGGTCTGATCTGATCGATTGCTTACGTCGATGCTGGAGGGCGAGGGCCAGGTATAGTCCGTGCCGAGCGCACCTGGGATGACCGTGTTACCGAACTCGCCACCGGACTCGCTGACACCGAAGAACTTGAACTTGGTGCGGCTACCGGAGCAGATGCTGTTACTGCTCGACGGGGCGGTGGACGTCGTCGAAGCAACAGTGCTAGACTCGACCGTAGTCGTGGCGGTGCTAGGCTGGCACTGTGAGTAGTCTGCAGAGGTGGCGGTGAGCAATCTATCAAGCTGGTGTGATGACGATCTGACAATCGTTAAGGTAGACGCAGGCATTGCCTGCGTCGCAAGTAGTGCTACCGGTGAAGCCAATGCCCTGTTTCATGGTCAGCGTTCCTAAGCGTTCCGCGATTATGCGACTACGCACACCACATTGGCCCCAGACTGCGACACCGAGGGCAGGTGCGCTGAGGGCGAGCGTCGCTGCGGCTGACAGCAAGAAAGACTTCATGTTGAGCTTAGAGTCTCAGAGAGTAGCTCGGCTCGCTGAGGTCGTTTTATGTATCCTAGAGCAGAACGAAGTGCCCAGATGTGGTGATTACGCCCAGTAGTATCCCGTTGATTGGCCGAGATAGCTCCCACATACCGACGGCAGTGCAGCCTGACGGTCCCCTGGTCGACTGAGAGGATTCGCCAAGACATCGGATGACAATTATCCAGACATGTCCCCGATAGCGAAGCACTGTAGGTGCTGGTATCATGCATCGTTCGCCACAAGTTTGCGGCATGCTTACCGCACATGTCAATGCGCTGTAATGCCGGGCTCTCCTGGGATTATACTCAGCAGAGAAACCTGCGCAGTAGATATTCAAAGGGCCAGAGAGGCGGCCTGGCCTCGCTCCCGGAGCAAAGAGAATGCGCAGGTCATGCTTGTGCAGAGATTCCTCGGCACACGTACGACAAATTGCATCTCGGAGGCAACCCCACACATGATGCGGACCAGCAGTAAGCATCGCATCGCTGGTTACTTGCGGGTCATGGGTCGGCGGGGAAGACCAGCTGCGAGTCGCAAGGTCCCGAGAAATAGCCAGAGGGTCATGGCACAATAGTCCTTTACACATTTTGTGAGCCACTGTGGCATAGAAAATAAAGAGCAGGTGCCTTACATATTTCTTAGTTACTGGGACAGAGCGAGAGGGTCACGTGGAGCTTCCACGTATCCCGCAGTAGAGGGGCCCGGGGCGTCTTAATTCCATACAAGGTTCTTCCACTCTTCTGCAGGACCATGGCCGTCATATACGACTTTGCTGTTAACTTTCGTCTTCAAGCTCCTGAAGAAGCAGGATAATGTCCAGAATACGCCTCGACCGTATCAAATCCCTCTCTTTCTACAAGGATGCTCTCACAGCCGCCCGGAGGACTGACCCACTCCCGCAACTGACCTGCATCGGCAAGGCCTGTCGGCAGTATACGCCAGAAGCAGTGCGGTGCGTAAACGTCGGAGGAGAAGCCACGGGGGTAGATTGGAAGGTGCATGCTCTGCTGAGTGGCAGTAGGTTCCGGAGATTTACCAGGCAATATTAATAGTGCGAGGCTGATCTGCCGGAAGCTCTACGCTTCGGACGAGTCGAGGTCTCATGCGAGGGCTGGGATGGTCCTGGTGATCCGTATGTCTTGAAAGGTGCGTTGTGTCCTCAGTACCCAGTACGCCTCCCCCCGACAAGCGATCGCGTGCAGGCTCCTGTGCATTGGAATACCGGCTAATCCAAGTCCCCAATTCACTTCGAGGGGAGGAGGCGCACAATCTTCCTCCTCGTCCCTGGGCTTGGCTCAAAGGTACGTTACATGCTCCAGCAGAAATTCTCCGGCCGTAATCGCATGTTTGTCCAGACCAAGATCCCATCGCACTGCTCTTCACCCTAGTCTGGATCGCCGTTTTTGCATATATTCTCTGGCAAATCATTAAATCCTGCTTCCGTCGTCAACCTGATACCGCCGCTCGCCCCCCTGGCACAGGTCCCCAGAGACCCACGCATGGATCTGGCTGGTTCTCAGGATCCCAGCCGAACGACAATCGAAACGACCCCCCGCCGCCCTATACCAAACACCCTCAGAGCTCAGCGCAGGGACCTGCGGTTGGAGACTGGCGTCCCGGTTTCTGGACAGGCGCGGCGCTCGCCGGAACGGGTGGATATCTCCTTGCCAGCGCTGGGCGTCGAGACCCACCGACGGCGACGGCGTACGACTGGGAGCGCGCACATATGCCGCGGGCCTCGCCCATGGCGATGCCCGACTACACAGGCTACACGATGTCGCGGCGATCATTCTTCAATTCAGACGGCCGGGGCGAGGGATCCTCGAGCCTCGGCTCGATGCGACGCAGCACAGGGTTGGGAGGCAGTAGTGTTCGGTGAAACACTGTCTAGCCCTGGTTGTCTCGGGTTTCCACCTTGTGGTCTTGTGTGTGGGCCGTGTGGATCCCCGTCCTCACGGAAGTGTGTATGTTTGCTACATGTATCTTGCTGTGCCTCAGGTCCGAAAATAATGAGATGAGACTGCCGTGCGTTGCCGCGGTGCGCAGAATACCCCAACCCGTTATGGACAGCAGGCTTTGTGGCGTTGAGCGCTTGCTTCCTCCGCGGGCTCGTCGGAACCTACTATGCGCGAGATGCGAAAAGAACGCGGGTAAACGGCCACTCTGTTGATCACGCATTCGTCGCCAAGTAAGAGCGTACCATATTGCCATCTCCTGATAACTACATGCCTACAAGGCTACTAGCAAGGCTTCGGATCACCCCATGGTTGCGTAGAAACGTAGTGGATTCGAAGTCTGCTCCGGGCGCGACAAGTATCGTAACCAAATCCTAAGTAGAACAACAAACAGAGCGATGAAACATCGTTGATAGCTAAGGGAGAAGTCGTATCGCGTGGCAGGATCGTGACAGTAAGGGATCGCAAAAGTACAGGCTGGAAGGTATCGCGAAAGCAGAGTATAACAGTGTTCGTGAGGAGGTTCCCACGATCCGTGAGGATAAAACAAGTAATACAACAGTCATAAAAGTTCGTCCACAGGTAGATCTCAGCATCCGGGCGGTCGGCGTGGAAAAGTATCACCAATGCTCTTCTTCGGTCCCGCTCTCCTCACTGCGTGACTCCCGTCTCGCATCTGTCTGCTGGCCGCGTGCGTACGGCAGGCTGGGGAAGTGCATGATCGCGCCGGTGATAGGGTCTGTCATGGCAGTCGTCACGCTCGAGTGCGTATCCGACGTTGCGGAGTTGATGGTGCCGAGCAGCGGCGCCATGTAGGCAGGAGGCGGACCCTGCACCGGGAGTGCTTGGAGCGAAGGCGGATCAGCAGCTAAGTGTTGCGATGGCTGCTGCGAGAGACGCCGCGTCGAGACCCGGCGCGAGGCGCCCTGCATGCTAGCGAAGCTGCCTCTCACGGCTGACAAGGGTGGCGAGCGCAATGGTGGGACGTCATGTCGGCTTTCTTCGCTCTCTTCCGAGAATGTACTTACATCCCGCAGCTGAGATCGTTGCGACGGTCTTGACGACGCAGAGCCACCCTGGCTGTGCTGCGACGACGGCGCAGAGTCAGTCGCACTACGGGATGACGGAACGCGGAGGTGCGAAGGCAGAGAATGCAAGGAGGCGTGGTGTGAGGTTGCGGGATCGGCTTGCTGCACGGCGGGAGGCTGGAAGGCGGACGGGTTAGCCTTGGGCGATGGTCCAACACTCCAAGGCATACTCACCACGCCGAATGTCTGGCGCCGCTCTCCAGCACCAGACAGATCCCTCCAGCCTTCGAGCGCAGTGGGCGGCGTGTCATCCAGAATGTCGATCGCAACGCCAGCACTGGTTGGACTGGACCCATCAGTTGTGTATGAGTCACGCCATTGTTGCGGAAGCGGTATAAGACCGGGCGGGAACGCCGGCCTAGCAGAGATGAATGGCGACGCTGGGCCGGGCGCAGGAATATCGAGAATATCGATCTCAGACGGCGGGCGCTCCACACGCGAGGGAGGGATTGCTCGATCACTGTTTCCATTGCTCCCGTTGCTCGCATGATTGCTGCTATTGTCGTCCACGACAGCATAAGCAGGCGGAGGACCTGCAAAAGCGGCGTCCGAGCCGGCGGGGGCGTGAGAGAGGCGTTCCTGCGCGTCAGGCGCAGTGACAGGCATCGGGAAGTCCACAACGGAACTCGCAGGGCGAGAGCGCGCAGAGTGATAGACGGTGTTCCCGCTGGCTGAAACAGTACTCTTCGCGCTGACACTCGACATGGGGCGGTCGCCGGCTGCAAGCAAACCGAGGCCAAGTCCGGAGTTGCGCCTTGGCGGACGTTGCGTAGGGCTAACGGGGCCTGCCTCAAGGTCTGCGTCATCGAGTAAACGCGTTGAGCCTGAAACAGAACCACGGCGGGAGTGGCGAGGGGAGCCATTGCGAGACGCGCGCGGCGGGGTTCGCGTGTAGGAATCAGCAGCTGTATCCTGCCGCGTATCTGAAGGTGACGTAGAAGGCCCAGAAGAGGACATGCGTCTGAACCAACTGAGCCGCCCCAGGCGAGAGCTTAGCCCACTCAGCCCCAATGCGCTACTCGATCTGCTAGGCTCACTCGCAGATTCGATCGTTGCGAGCCTTGAGTGCGATGGTGTCGCGCCCACTTTGACACGCTGTGCAACTAGAAGCTCGGCCGGGTCGGTCTCAAGGCTGGCGCCGGACTTTTCCGAGTACATGGACTGGTCTTGCGTCTTCTGCGAGCCAACCGAGCGATCCGAGATAGGGCGTGCCTGATTGCGTACGCCCAGACCTGCAAGACCATCAGGGTCCAGAGGGGGCGGTGGAAGGAGCGGTGACTGATCCTGCGGCGGTGAAGGATGGACGATGCGAATGCTATACGGAGAGGATTCTTCTTGTTCGGACTCCGCCATACGAGCTAGCACGTCCCGAGGAATAATGTGTCCTCCCTGCGGTGGGCTTGACCTTGGAGTGCCACTGCCAAGCACGGCGGCGGCGGGCATGCTTACTAGCGTGTCGGATTTCGTCTGCGTCTCATCAGCGAGAGTTGCGCTCCGGACGCTACGCCTTGTCAAGAAAGGATCAGCCTCTTCACCGCTGCCGCGGGGAGAGCCTTCGCCAGGTGAATGCGGCGGACTCTCATGCCCACCATTCCTCGAACCTCTGCTTCCCTGGGAGTCAGCCTCTGCCTCGACGAACTCCCAGCCGGTCCATATTGGCGTCTGGCGACGAGTATCGTCACGGCGGATCGAGAAGAGTGTCGTGGAACGGTTCCAGAAGCTCGAGGTGCCGGTATTGGTGCCTTCGGGAGAAACTCTTGAACGACGACGATTCCGTCTAATAAGGAGGCACAAAGAAAGCATGATCACTAAGAGCAGCAAGACACCAAGGATGCTTCCTAGTATCGCGCCAAGCACGGCTGTTGAGATGCCATGATTCTGCAGAGCGCTCGCGGCAGATGATGTCGGGGAGCCAGAGGTAGATGTGGGGACAGTTTGGGACGGTGTACTAGCGATGGATGAGGGAGAAGGAACGGAAGTCAGTGGCGGTGTTGTAGTGAATGATGACTGAGCATTAGTAGATGTAGGTGTCGCTGTCGGGGGTGAATTGGATGGTGGTGGTGTGAGCCCACCGTAGGTCCAGACGCCATCGGTACCCAGCGGGATCTTAGAGAGAAAGATGATCAGTATGCCGAAGCGAACTTCACGTAACGCCACGCGAAAGAAATGTGTCGCCTGCGTGTAAGCCTAAATTCACGGGGCAACGAAATCCCCCGCCGCCCCCCACGTCTATCTCGATAAGAGCTCATACTTTAGCCTACAGGACGCGACCCATCTCGTCCCCAGAATCGAGCGCAAAACGAACACTTACACTAGGCCCGAAGTATGTCAATGGAAGACGCAGCGTTGCAAATGACGTCGAGACACTGCCGTCGGGCTCGGTAATGAGGGTAGACGAAAGGGTAAGCCATGAAGGTAAGACCTGAGAGGGCTGGGCCATTGTTGAGGTTGTGGTTGACAACCAAAAGGAAGGCGTTAGTAGAGAACGTGTGCCGTGTCCTAGAGCGGGTGAGCGTGAGTGGTTCGAACCATAATGGCATGATGATAACAGGATTCGAGGAGGTCTCGAGACGCACAGGTGGCGGGGGTGGGAAGGTGCTCGTTAGATGTCGTTAAAATGGGTCGTAAATGGCAAAATATGTGGTGTATAGACGAGATAGAGAACGGGGTGCACGTGAAGGGCAAGAGACCCCAGTAAAGAGCCCCCAAGGAGCGGTTTGCAGTTGAACATGCTCAATGGCGCGCTCAATTACGTCCGGCGCGGACCATCACGTGACTAGGCGCTTCAACAGGATTCCACACCCGATGCCAGTACAGGATATCCCAGTCAACTTAGCACAAAAACACACAAAGCATGGGTGGAACATGGTGCAGCTATCGCTTTCCCTTCTTTCCTTTTTTCTTGCCCCCGCCCTCGTCAGGTTTCGAGGCAAGGGCATGCCCCGTTGCGTTGATATGCGCAAACATTTTTGTCCGACTGGTGAATATCTCTTCGCAGACATTACAAACCTGAGAGAGCCTGAGCAAAATTGAAGAGGCCCAGTTGAAATTTGAACATACCAGCGAATCTGTCGCCTCTTGCTCCTCCTTCGCCTTCTTGGCCGCCTCTCGCGCGCGTCGCTTGTCCCGCTTAGACATCCCAGGCTTGTCGACCTTTGCCGGCGTACTCGCGCCGTCCACATTGTTAATCTGCTCCTCGCCTGCAGGTTCACCCAGCTGTGGCGCGTCGACGGCTTCAACGAGGTCGTCTGGACTAGTGGGCCTCCGCGCACGCGATTTGCGCTCATTTTTCGCCAACAGCCCAGGTGAAGGTGAAGGTGAGCGAGCTTGTTTCTTTCCTTTCTTCTTCCTCTTCGACTTGAGTCGCGTTTCTTCGCTCGCCCCTTCTTCCTCATCGGCCATGAGCCCATCCTTGACAGGCGGGGTATCTTCTTCGACTCCTGCATCTGAGGACGGTGGAATTTTCTCAGGTGCGTCGGTAAACTCTTCTTGCTCGCTCTCGTCTTCGCCATCCCTCTCTTCATCTCCACCCAACCCAAGTTCCTCATTCTCCTCCTCCATCTCTCTCCTCAGCCTCTCAACTGCCTGCATATGCTTCTTGCTGCGTTCGTGGCTGTCCCAGGCAGCCTCACTGCGGAAAGTCTTTCCGCACGCGACGCATTCCCACTCCTCCTCATCTTCACCCCGCTCGGCCGCTGCCCACTCGAGGTCTGCGTCTAGTGTTTCATCACGTCGAGGCTTCTGCCACACCTGCTCGACGAAAGCGTTTGTCGTCGGGGGAGGCTTAGTGCGCGGTGTGGATTGCCCTGAAGACTTAGCGGAGGCTTTTGCAGCAGTTGCAGCATGTTGCCGCGTAATGTGCGCTTTGTAACGTGGATCGCGCTTGCGAATGAACATGGCAAGGGCCTGGAAAACGTGAGTTTATGCCGCGTATGCACACGGTTAAGTTAGGATAACTCACCTTGACAGTCTCGTTATACTCTTTCCTTGCGTCATCCCTCGTCTTCTTGTTTTCTTTCTCCATCAGCCTGCGCACCCGCCTATCAGGTGCATCGTTTATCTCCCACTGGTCTTCCCATGAGAAGTCCTTCGCCGTCACGAAGTTGAGCCAAAAGTTATAGAACGTCCTCGCCGCCGTATCTGCATCCTCCTTTGACGCAGGTACCCACGGCCAGGTGGCAAGCCCGAGGGAAGGATACGAATCGGCCGTGTGCTCAGACCATTGAGATTCGTCATATGCAAGGCGGGTGAAGAGATTGCGATAGATCGTAAAGAAGCTCTGCATTGCGACCGTCGATATGAGATCACGCACTGAGGATGGGTAATACTCACGCTCTCGCCATCATCAAACCCCTTGTATATCGATGGGTTAAAGAATTGCTCGAGATGCCGGACAGTCAGACCACGGTCCCGTCCTCTTGGCGGGGCAGCGCCGCGGAGAATGTCCTCGAAGACAGTTTCTGCATCGGGCTCAGGCACGAGAGATGCTCGGTGACTATCATACCACGCCCGTTCCTACTTGTGCCGGAGGATCAGGATCTATACGTCTCATGGAGGCGGGAAGGCAGGCTAAAGCTCACTTGTTCGTCTGACAGAACCTCGTACGCTTGTTGCAGCGCCGCAAAGCGTTGTGTTGCGGCTTCGATATCGTCGTGGTTCTTGTCAGGATGGTGGATCAGTGCGAGCCTGCGGAAGGATTTCTATATTTCTTGGTCAGTGCTGTGCCGGAAGACGAAAGTGTAGAGCAAACGCACCCTAATCTCGTCCGTAGTCGCATTCTCATCCACCTCGAGCAGAGAATAGTAGTCCGGCGAGCCCTCAGGAACTTCTCCCTCCTGCCCACCCCGTGCTGTCGATTCGCGTGCGCCCATTGCTATCTATGATACGCCGAGGGTAGAAAGGGCGGATGGCACTGGGCACATAATTTCTGATCACGTGCCCAGAGGTGATCGACCTGGGCGCTCACAGCGGCCAGGAGCCGAAGGCTACGCGACGTTGGTTCAGTTCGTTCACTCGATTTTCCGAGTGTGTGCTTTTCACCAAACCGAGCCCCATATCTACTGACTGTTCCTGCACACTACGTTCAGAATGTCATTCTTTGGTTCCTCGGCTTCTGCAGCTCCTCCCCAGGGTGCGTAGCGCAGAACCTGCCCGAAGTAACTTTTCTCACTCTTTGTGTAGAGATGGCAGCCCGTAAGGAGGCCTTCATACAGTCCATTCGCGGCGAGATGGCCCTGGCAAATGCTCAGGAACTTATGAGCGTGCGTTTAATAGTGTCTCAGTCCCTTGGCTATGTGTTGAGAGTTACACCTTGCAGAAAGTGGGCGAGAAATGCTTCCAGAAGTGCGTCACTAAGCCCGGCACCTCGTTATCGTCTTCAGAAGAGGTGCGCTTCACCCATGTGTCTACCCCGCAAATTCTGTTTTGACCAGAGTCCAAAGACATGTCTGTCGCGGTGTATGGATCGCTACATGGAAGCCTGTGCGTTCATCGTCCATTTTCTAATGCTCCACAGACATACTGAAAGCGGTCTACTCAGTCAACATCGTAAGCAGGGCCTACATTACACGCTTGAGCAAGGACCGTGTCGATCGCCAAATATGATGGCCCGTCCTGACCCGCGACACGCAGTGGTACGCCCAGCCGGTACGCTGCCGAGGACGACACCCGGGACAGCTGCCAAGTTCATCGAGCCGACTTCACAATGCTCCCGCGCCCAGCTTGCATAGTTGCTGGCATCAAGGCGGCATACTGCGAGGAAAAGCAATGCATTCGTCTGCACACTAGCATGCAGCCACACAGGATATCGCTTAGATCGTCCATATAATGCTATGCCGTAAAACACTCCATCGCCTCCTATCTCCTCTGCGTGCTCCGCTGCGTCCTTTGCGAACGCCCGGCACCGAAACCTTTGAACACCATCTCGTTGTCCGAGTCGTCGTCAGCCGGCGCAGGCTCGCGACGCCGGCTGCCGAGGCCGCTCTGCTGGCTGCGCCGCTGCGTTTCCGTGCGGATTGTCGAATTTGGGCTGATTTCCGCGTCGCTACCCATGTCGTCGCGCTGCGATGCGTCCTTGTCGGCGGGCACGGCTGCTTCATCCTCGTCCTCGGGGTCACTTTCGACGAACAGAGTCGACTTCTTTTGCGGCCGCGAGGCCTTCGGCCGGAAGGCTTTGGGCGGCGGCACCTTGCTTTTGGTTCAGTCTTCTGGGATTTGGGCACGATGACGGACTCGACCTCCGAGTCCGAGTCACGTAGTTGCCTGCGAGGCCTCTGCAGCTTCGATACAGGGCTAAGTGGATCGTTTTTGAGCCTACGCTGAGATTCCGAGCGCGGAAAGCTAGGGGCATTATCTATGCGTGGCAGTGAGCTGAGCCTGTCATGAAAGCCGACTATGAGACATACCGTCCGGCTCATCCTTGAAACCAAGCATGTCATCCTCGTTTGAGAGAATCAGCTCGATAGGCCTGAGTCGCTCGTTAATCGCTCTCTGCAATGTTTGTGTAAGTTCATACTACTCTGTTTACTGACAGACCGAGAGACATCACCAACCTTCTTGAACTTTTTGAAATTCGGCCTCCCCTCCCAATCCCTCCTGCCGCTTCCATCCGTCACAATGCCGCTACGTCCCTCCCTCCGGTCCTTCCTGATCAGGTCCATTTCAACAACTACCATGAAGTTTCCTCTAACATCATTGTCATCTCCAAAATCATCGAGGACCTTCCACTGCTCCTCGGGATCGACGCGCTGCACCTCGGGCTTGCTGATCCGAAGCTTGTTGAACTCCCGGTCAAAGTCGTCCTCGTGCTTCTTGCCCCGCTTGGTAGAGGCAACGGCCTTGAGGAACGCCTCGTCCGTATCCGGCTTTCCCGCTGCAGCGCCGTGTGACTTCTGACCCGTGCTAGGAGGCTTCTGGCCGCTGCTCGCCGGCTTGTTGGCGGCGTTCGTGAAGATCGTCGGGGCGGCGGGCTTGCTGGAGGACGCTTGAGGTGGCGCCGTCGCGGGCTCCCCGCTGGCGCCGCGCCGCTTCACCGGACGAGCGTCATCCGTGTCCTGCATCTCAACGTCCTCGTCCTCGTCACGAGCTTTGCGCTTCTGTGGTTCCCGCATGCCAGAGGACGCACTCGCCTCAGCACCGACCTCCTCCTCCTCAGGCACCGAGGCGAGCTCTCGCGCTCGCGCCTGCGTCCTTATCGCGCTCTCGGTCTGAGTCTGGCTGCTCAACGCCCCGCTCGCCGCGCTGCCGCTCGTACCAATCTGGGCGACAGGTAACTGGGATGCGATCCGGTCGGGATCACTCTCTTCGAACAGGGCCCTGAACTTCTTGTGCGGCGGCTCATCGCCGGACGGCCTCTCGACAATGAGTTGGCTGGGCGGAGGCAGAGGCGGGGGCTGTAGAGCGGGTGCTGCACCGCCATGGCGGCGTTTCAAGTTGATAGGGCGGCGGAACAGGAGCTGCACGCGAAGTCAGCAAGAGAGCCGCTGCTAGGGGACGTAGACGCACAAGGTCCTCGACGGGTTTTGGAGCATCGTTAGTGGCCGAAGTAGTACCGTCCATCGCCATTGACGTATCACCAACTCCGACAATCACGTTGTCGTTCGCTTTTGTGACTGTTCTTCGCACAAGCGGCTACGATACATGATGGTATCAGTATGCGTGTCGGTGTATCGGCATACCAGACCACAAACCCGTCGCAACTTGAAAGGCTGTTCCTCCTGTGGCGGCTCGCCGGAATTGGTAGCAGCCTCTAGGGCTGGAGTTGTATTGGCAGTTGTAGATGATGACGGTTCCGGCTCAGCTGAGGGTTGCCCAGTCGCCGCACGCCGCACGAGCTTCCGTTGTGGCGGCGACGGTGCCGGCTCTGGCTTAGCTTCCGCTGACCCAGCTGGTGGAAGCGATGGTGGTGCAGAAGGTTCCTCCGGATGCGTGTTGAGAACAACATCTGGGATGGAACTACCACTTTGCGCTGGTAGCCGGTGAGCGAGAGTTGAGTCGAGATCAGAAAAGCGGGGCTTACTAGCGCGGTTTTGCGACGCCCCACAGTCTATATATGCCAGGTCGACATGGACCACCGCCTGGACGAGGTTATCTGAGCTGATGAATCGCAGACCATATCTACATATATCATTTTCGAATTGTCCCGCACAGTTTAGCAAGCAGAGACTCACTCACCCCGTTACCTCCTCGACGATTCCATCCCACTCGTCTTGTCCAACGGCAGCAACCATTGCTGTCGCATCAGCCACAAGCGTGATCCTGGCGCCTTTTCCCTGCGCCTTGGCCAGGACATCGTGCAGGGCCTTGCGCCCGCCCTGGACGGCGCAGCACTCATACGTGCCGCCGCCTTGCTTGACAAGCTCCTTATAGTCTTCGCCCGCTTCTCTCCCTCGTTCACCAACAAACAACACTCGGTGCCCCTGCAGCATGCTCGTGCGGGCTTCGTTTGGCTCCCATGAACGGTGATTCTTGAGACTGGAGGGCAAGGCGGGAGAAAACGCCGGACGATGTGTTGAAGTTGAGGGAACGTGGTAATCTTTTCCAGAGTCCGGTGTGTCTAGGGGCGCATAATGAGCAATAAGCTCTGTTAGCCAAGTCGGCTTGACAAAAGTCGCGGTATTCAATAGCGAGGTTGCTATTGCGGGTGTAAGAGTATAAGTGGGAGTGAGATGGTAATTGACACTTGGATGTGGCTTGGATACCACGGGAATTGCTGGTATATATGCTGTAAGAATAGTGTGTAGAACGATAGGAACGGGCGCACCGAGCCTGGCACAATCTTCCGCCTTGACATCTGTGACAGTTGGTGGGTAGCAGCATGCGAGCTTCTCCCACTTCGCCCTAAGGAGTAAACTGAGTTATGCGAGAAGATGTATGCGAGAGCATGATACATACGTTATGACTATGTCGTGCAAAGCCACGATTGTATCCCCATCCTTCAGTACAGTGGAGCCATCCTTGTTGACCACGAAGTCGGTACCGTCAATATGCAAGCCTTTGCGCGCTTGTGCACCGGTATTGTGTAATGTGAGCTTTGGGACGTGGTCTGGGTCCTCCTATTGAAGAATGAGCTTTGAGGTATTTGCGGACAGGGTGGTGCGTACGATGTCTTCTTCTGAGCACTCTGCGACTTCGAATACGAGATGTTTTCGCGAAATACTTTTGTGTTTAACCACTAACGGCCCCACTTTGCGCGAGACGACATAGCTATTGCCTGGCCTGAGCAGCTTGGTTTCTAGGTGCAGACTGTTTGCTGGGGCGGATCACTAAAGTCGCACACAGTGACTCACTCTTGAAGTCGACCTTATTATCCTCCTCGCCGTCAAAAGGCCCGACCACGGTCCACATTGTCAGTGCGCTGCCAAGAGCCGGCGAAGGTAAAGCGCGACCAGCGGCGGACGTGAGAGCGACGGTGTGGCCTATGCGGGCGCTAATGAGTCGCGTCTGGACGCGTGCCACGTGGATATGTATGGTCCTGTTAGGATTCAAAGCTCACTCCTGCCTTTCTAGGACAGACGCACGAACGCTTTGTCGCACATTGTCCCACTCAGCCTTAACATCGCCTCGGACACGAAGGTCTCGCTCGCGTACTAGAATACTTCAGAATCATCGCTGCATATCTCGCGATGTCGGATCTGTATCGCTCCGCACTGCATGCACGTATCTTGAAGCTGCCCCAAATGCCTTCAGATCCTGATGAAGACGAAGAGGAGGAAGCGGCAGATTCCGTCGGCGCACTACCCCCTGCGATGGGACTCCCATCTCTGAAGTAAGCTTCTTCGACAAACCAACAACGCCGCTTTACAATAACACGAGACTGCTCGCAGGCCACCGCGCACGCGCACACATAACGCGGACTTCGCTCCCATCTCGGCTGCAGGTTACTTTGAGCAAGCGCTGCAGGTTGCAGTGCCGGAATCTGGTCTAGACTTCAGAGTGTACTACACCGCACCAAGAGCTGTCGACGGAACAGTCATGGTTTGCCACCACGGCGCAGGCTGGTCTGGACTCACGTTCGCATGTTTCGCGAAGGAGATCGCTACGGAGAGCAAGGGGGAATGTGGGGTATTGGCATTTGACATGAGAGGCCATGGTCAGTAACTTGACCTGCACAGAGGTCCGAGATACTTACATGTGGATCTGTCCAGGCAAGACCGCGCCTCAGACACCAACATCTGCCGACAAGGAAGACCTTTCGATCGATACGCTCACGGCAGACTTCGTTAACCTCATAACGAACGTCTTCAAAGATATTACTTCTACCCCTACGCTACTGGTGGGTTTATTTTTGGCATATTCCTGCGACCCAAGCAATGATTACGCGTAGCTAGTCGGTCACAGTCTCGGCGGTTCCGTGATAACTCGTGCATGCCCACTACTACAAGAGCGCAAGTATAGAATAGTAGGCGTTGCTGTGTTGGATGTTGTTGAAGGTGACTTCCGAAGGATCAACCTTACGCTCTGCTCTGCTCACATTCGCCTCTCAGAATTTACTCTGGAAGCCCTTCCAATGATGCACGATCTACTCGACTCACGGCCAGAGGGGTTCAATAGCCAAGAGGATGCAATTAGATGGCAGTAAGCTGTCTGTGCCGTACTCGAGCTGAGATCTTTATTAACCCTCTTATGATTTCCAGCATCTCGACTCATGCTATCCGCAATCCCGACTCGGCACGTGTATCTGTGCCTAGCATCATCATCCAGAACCCGAACCCGGAGCCAGGCTCGTTGCTGTGGGTCTGGCGAGCTTCGCTAAGAGCGACAGCGCCATATTGGACCAGTAAGATCTCTCCACGATCGTCTGCTGAACTTTGCCTAACCCGTGTGTAGGTTGGTTTACCGGACTCTCGAGCCGCTTCCTATCTGCAAAGACGGCCCGTGTGTTGGTCTTGGCAGGAGCTGAAAGGCTTGATAAGGAGTTAATGATAGGACAGATGCAAGGGAAATACCAGCTTGTCGTTGTATCGAACGTGGGGCATATTCTGCACGAGGTTTGTGTTCATTCCTCATCCACTTACTTGACTGCTAACCTTGTACTGTGAAGGACGACCCGGAGCGCCTCGCGGAAGTGCTTGTCGAGTTCTGGCGAAGGAACGAGCGAACAACAGTCAACATCAAAAACCTGAAGAAAGTTGGAGACCTGTGAAGAGTATCTGGGATTCTTTGTAGCAATATTAATGGAAACATAACACTGTAGTTTAGCTGACAAATAAACCATAAGTGAGGCAAGGAAGAGCAATATTCTAGCCAAATGTGAAAAAGAGGTTTATTAGGTGGCCTACTCTGATTCTCGGAGACTTGCCATACTTAGCCTATGTTGCCGGGGCTGAATGATGCCAAAATTTCAGAGCCGCTCTTTTGGGCGCCAAATCACCCATCCTTCTTCGTTCGCGGACACTTTGGATGGAAATCTCGGTGTGCGATAAAATTTACAGTAATAAAGAAAAGATACTGAGTATAAAACAAGGCAGGGCTCGAATGCGCTCAATCGCTCCATGCAGGGCCTCTGGTCTCAACACCGTCGTGCCAAAATCAATCTCAACGCCCAAAGCGCACCCACCTCCGCCAGTTCCGCACCCGCTGTCTCCACACCCAACGCCGAAGAGGACGCAGGCGGCACGGTGACACCAACATTAGAGAAGACGGATGGCGAGCTCGTTGGGGAGAACGAGCCCTCGACATCGACGGCAGATCCCAAGCTCGTCTCGAGCGGCAAGCGCAAGACGCGTTCGTCCCGTCTCGCTGGTGAGGACGGCAGCAAACGTCCACGCCTCGCAGAGAGGGGCGGTGGCATTGCTAAAGACTATGCGCCACCATCTACACGTCTGTCGGACCTCGGCGGCATCGAAAGCTGCGTGGAGAAGATGCTCGAGCTTGTCGCAATGCCGCTGTGCCATCCGGAGGTGTACATCCACACTGGAGTCCAGCCGCCACGCGGCGTTTTGCTACACGGTCCCCCTGGGTGTGGTAAGACGCTGTTAGCACATGCTATTGCTGGCGTAAGGTTTCCTCTCACGGACGATCGCTCCCGGCTCACCGCTGTCTGCAGGAACTCGGAGTGCCCTTTATCAGCGTGTCGGCTCCATCAGTCGTATCTGGTATGTCTGGCGAGTCTGAGAAGACGCTTCGGGATACATTCGAAGAAGCCAAAGTATGTCTCCGATCAATGGAGTCGTCTGAGACGGCGGACTCACGCACGTTCACAGCGAGTTGCGCCTTGCTTATTGTTTATAGACGAGATCGACGCTATCACCCCCAAACGAGAGAGCGCACAGCGCGAGATGGAGAGACGCATCGTCGCGCAATTCCTGACATGCATGGACGGTGCGTAAGTTGTCGCAATCCGTCGTATCTCGCTGCTCAACTCCCTCGCTGAGCAGACATGTCTTGGGATAAGACGGACAACAGACCCGTAATCGTCATCGGCGCGACAAACAGACCTGACTCACTCGATGCAGCGTTGCGGCGTGCGGGCCGATTCGACCACGAGATCAGCATGGGTGTGCCTGATGATGAGGCACGTACGCAGTGCGTCCTTCCTTCGCATTCTGACCGCCATCTGAAACGTCTAGTGTAGAATCTTGCGAGTGCTTTCTTCAAGGCTCAGGCTAGAAGGTGACTTTGATTTTCTCGCCCTCGCCAAGGCCACTCCGGGGTATGTCGGCGCAGACCTGGCCGCTCTGACGGGTGCGGCCGGTATCATCGCTGTCAAGCGGATCTTTCAACGGGTCTCAGAGGGAGGCCTCGTCCTTCCCGAGGCCGTGCAAAGCAAACTAGACCTAGATGGAGACTCTTCCATGGCTATTGACGGAGCCGTCGTTCCGATATCAAGCGTACCAGCTGGAAATTTAACGCCGCCTACGCAGTCCTCGATGCGTGTACCCTTCTCGGACATTTCGCTTCCCTCCAACTCGCCCGCAAGCTCGATTGTGCACTTCCTGCGCGCGCATCCTGACCCGCTGACGGAGGCGCAGCTCGTGCCGCTATGCATCACAATGAGCGATTTCCTTGCGGCACTCAAGCAGGTGCAGCCGTCCTCGAAGCGTGAGGGCTTTGCGACCGTGCCGGATGTCACCTGGGCGGACATCGGTGCTCTGCACGCAACACGCGAGGAGTTACACATGGCAATCGTTCAACCGATCCGCCGACCGGAGCTATTCAGTGCCGTAGGCATCGAAGCAGCGTGTGGCGTGCTCTTGTGGGGACCACCAGGTTGTGGAAAGACGTTGCTTGCGAAGGCTGTCGCGAATGAAAGCAGGGCAAATTTCATCAGTGTGAAAGGCCCGGAGCTGCTCAACAAGGCGAGCGCCATACTGATATCTGCCATCTCTGCTGATTACTGACCATACGTCTACAGTATGTTGGTGAGAGTGAACGGGCAGTTCGTCAGGTCTTCTCTCGCGCACGAGCCTCGTCGCCGTGTGTGATCTTCTTCGACGAGCTCGACGCTCTTGTACCACGCCGGGATGACAGCATGGTATGCAATGTTCTACTTCGCCTGTCTGACTGTCCGTAATCTACATTCTAGTCTGAATCATCTGCCCGCGTCGTCAACACACTCCTCACGGAGCTCGACGGGCTTGATGCACGCAAGTCCGTGTACGTTATCGCTGCGACGAACCGCCCCGACATGATCGACCCCGCGATGTGCCGTCCCGGGCGGCTCGACAAGCTGCTGTACGTCGACCTGCCCAGCACCGACGAGCGTGCCGAGATCATGCGTACGGTGATACGGAAGGTGCCGCTCGGCGAACTGGGCGCGACCTACGAGTGCGTGCGCGAGCGGGTCGAGGCACTGGTCCGCACGCGCTGCGACGGGTACAGCGGCGCAGATCTTGCTGCGGTTGTGCGCGAGGCGGGCGTTGCCGCACTCAAGCGTACGCTCGGCGCGCTCGACGCCATGGAGGGAGACGGCCACGCGCTGCCGGAGGGCGAGACGGGCATCACAGTGCGGCTCGCCGACTTTGAGCGTGCGCTGGAGAAGGTGCAGCCGAGCGTATCGGTTGCGCAGCGGCGCAAGTATGAGGCGCTTCGGAGCAGGTTTGCGGGGCTGCCTGTCAGAGCGGGCAGGGAGGAGGACGGGAAGAGGGTCGAGGGCGGTGAGCCTGCTGCTGTCGCTTAGCGGTTGGTTTCCGCGTCGACCTTAGTTACAGCTGTAGAGTCTGTACACTCGTGACAAACTCTCATTTCATGGCGCACATTTCATTCGGGCGACATCGGCCGAGCGGCCTCCCCTTGAAACACTCGCGCCCGCGGGTGGCGCTCTACTCATTGTCGCGCTGATCGCGGAAAAGGCCGCGTTCGTGTCCGCTGAGTCGGCGTACGGGACGCGGGGCAGAGCCTGAGACCCGCTGTTGCGGGGGTCGGATCCACGCTGGCACAGATCTTGCACAGGACACACCGCCCATCCACACTCGCACAACCCAAAGTACTCCAGCATAGGGTTACATAGTTGTCAACAAGCTAGATCCACTCCGCGACACCACGCCCGGCGCCTGCCGCGCCCCTTCACCTGCGCCGCGTACCGCTCCGTCGCGGCCGCCTCTTGGGCTTGGCCGCGCCCTGAGCCTCCGTCTGCTCGTCTTCTGGCACCTTCTGTTTCGCCGCGGCCTTCCCGGCGATAACTTTGCCCTTGCCACCCTGCTTCTCCGCCGGCGCGTCCCGCAGGAGCTGCGGCCAGTCATCCTCCGCGCTCTCCTCGGGTCCAAGCAGCGACATGAGCTGCTCGCGGTGCCGGCGTTGCGCGGGGTCGTGGTACAGCACACCCGCCCCGCCGCTCGCCGTCCGTGCAGCAGGCTCGCCGCTCCGCCTCTGGCCGCCGCTGGGCAGGGGCTGGCGCTGCACAGGGTCCGCCAGGTCGATCTCGCGCGGTGTCGAGAGCGGCGCGTCGTCGAGGACGATGCTCGTCGCGCTTGCACTGCGCTCGAAGTAGTGCTCGTATGCCGCGCGGGCGTCCTGCACGAGGGCCGTCAGCTCTGCTGCTGCGCGAGAAAACGACGGGGCGGATGTACCTTTGATTTTGTCCGGCTGAGCACGCGTGCGCGCCGTTTCATGGCTGGCAGCACGTCGGACGCGTCTCCGCCATCCTGCTCGTCCTCTTGCGCCTCCTCCATCGCACGCTTGCCCAGCAGCGACGTCAGACGCGCCTGCAGCTCGTCGCTCGCCGCGCGCGAGATCCTGCTCGGCGTCCGCGGTTCACGTGCGTTCCCCTCCGCGTCGACGACGCCAAAATCCGCTGCGCCGTGTTTCGTGGGCGATTGGAAGCGCGACGGTATCTTGAGCGGCGATGGCGACTGAGAGCTGGCGATCATCGTATTCAGCATGTCCTCGCGCAGATCCGCGAGCGAGCGAGTCTCGCTCGGCTGCCTGCTGCTGCCCGCGTCCATGCTGTCCGAGCCGTCTGTAATTTCGCCCCCTAATCCGGGGATGAGGTGTGGCTCGGCCTCGGGCATCGTCATCGACTCGTCGAGCAGACCCGAGGGCTTCCCGAAGGGCGCGCCGAGATAGTCATCATCACCGAGTGGGCTGCTCTGACGTCTTGGTGATAGAGATGATGCTGGTGCTGGTGCCAGATGGTCGTAGGCAGTGTCTAGATGCGCTCCGCCTCCCTCATCACTGTGCGAGAACTCGCAGTGGGGAAACGGCTTACCATTCGTGATATCCACCATGGCCACATCACTAGGACTAGCGCGCTCTTTGCCCTTGCCCATTCTCTGCTGCTGCGGCCCTGACTCTTGCCCTTCCGCGCCCGAGGCGCGACGAGACTTCCACCCCAGAACGACGCCAGTCTTTGTTATGCCCTCGAGCCACGCCATGTCGACGACGGGGACGCCCCACTCGTTTGCCTTGTCGAATTTGGCGCCGTTCCGCGAGGGACAGAGCAGGTGGGTCGTGCGGCGGGAAAGGCGGGGGCAAGCGTCATCCCGAGGGCGCGT